TATATATATATATATATATATATATAATTTTATCATTATTTCTCGTGATATTAAGTTTAAAAATTCGCATTGGATATACGATAAACTTTGTATTCTTTGTTCTAATTATGTTTATATTAATCTAATCATTGACTTCACGTCGAAATAAGAAAAATTCCGTAAATATTTTTCATTACATGTTTTTCAGAACAACATATAACACATGAAGAATATCTTATAACTTGAGAAACACTCTTCTTTATAAATATTAATTAAGTTTTTTGTAAATTATTTTATTTTTGACTTTTTGTTTTTTTCTTAATTCAACTAAAGGATACATATTTTATGAAAACGCTCCTACCCTATTTTTTTATTCCAAATTGCTGTAACTGAAGCTAAAAATCACGATGACTGATACTTTTCGCCGCGAGGGTTTCAGGAGATTGCATACTACAGTGGCAATTTTGAGAAAAAAAAATTAAAAAAAAATCGGATTCTTATATTTTAATATGTAATGAATAAACATGCTGAATTTCAAAACGATTCATTTATTCCTTCCATTTTAAATAAGTCTCTGAAAAACACATTCAGGTGTTTACATGTATCGCCGGCTTTAAAGAACCTTGACGAATCTCTTCATAAATTTTTTGGGACTTCAATAACACGCAATTTTTCGAAATGTTTATCAATTCAGATTAATTTATAATGGACTCGTTTTTATTTAACTCGATTTTATTTCTTTTTACAAAAAATTGATTTACATGAGCAATGTAAATTTCAATTTATAATATAACATCGACACATGTTAAACGATTCAATTTTCAACATTGTATTACTCAATATATTTAATGATTTTGTTTAAAAGATATAATACAAAATTAATTAATAATTGAATTTCTTATTCTATTATTTTTTATTTTTGTTCTCGATAATCCACTGACCGTGAAATACAAAAATTTCGTTTAGATAATGCGATAAATATGAGAAAACTAATTTTATCTTTCGAAGATAGACGTTTGGTGTTAGGCATGACCTACATTTTAAATAAAGATGCCTGTTCAAATTAAAAGACGCGTCTGGAATTTCTAAGCGTCCTAACATGATTTCCATGTGGTTGTTATAATAATCTCCATAAGAAAGAAGCTTCCTGACCCTTTTTCAAGTATCACAACCGTTTAGTATTAATTCTCATTGACGTATTCAAATGTTGATCGATACAAAGTTATTCAACATTACAATTTCATTAATAATTCATCGATAGAAAATTTGACAATATATTTTATGATACATGTCATCTCGATTTTTCGTAACCATTCCTACATAACATAAAAACTTTATGTATGTTAGCTTTAATTTTTGTAATGTGTTGTTTACTCCTCGCTCTCCACCTAATCAAATCAAATCAATTATTTTTGAACATTGTATTTAGAAAGAGAAATTAATTCCAATTATTTTTTAATGTAATTTACAAGCAAAAAAAAATCTTACTAGACGCAACATAATACTTGCAAAGGGAAAGACTGCAATAAACGAACACTAATGCAAAATTTCTGACGAAGAAACGTCAAAGATGTCTATAAATAGAAATAAACTAAGACGTTAGAAACACTAGAGAAGCACTTCAGAGGTTTACCACCTGAGTATTCCTCCTCTCATTCTTGTTTCGGCTCACGTTACAAGTAACTATCTTCGAAGTATATTTTTCAAAAAAAAAAAAAAAAAGAAAAAAAAATCGTTCAGCTCGTCATATTATTACAATATGCCTAAACACGCATGTATGTTCGTTTGTAATTCAATAAAATAAATAAAACGTATAATATTATAGGAAAATAATAAAACTTGTATAACCGGTCTTATCTAATGATAAGTCATAGACTTCATTGCCACCTTGTAATTCTGTCATTAACAAGATTACTGGTAATAATGAGGAAATAGAAAATTGTTTCTTTCTTTTTTCTTTTTTTTTTGGTTCGTTTTATTACATCGACTATCAATCCGAAACATTGAAAAAACTCAAATGTTGTACATACCAAAAATGTTATATGAAAAAATGCTCGATTCATTTCGATAAATGATACCGTTAAAGTATTTTTTCCTTAGAGGGGGAAAAAAAACAAGATCCTGACATATGTTTAGAAAAGTTCAAGGAGACGAAGTTTCTTCGTTTTAAATGTGGTCCTACCTGTCTATCTCTTTCTCTCTCTCCCTTTCTTTCTCCTCTTTTTTAGAGAAGTGTATATCATAGGCACAGACGTTGAACATTATTATGCAGCTATTTTTATGCTTTTTTTATTAATAACAATTAAAATATATAATATGAAGGTTACAATAAATTATCTACTATTTTTTTTTTTTTTTAAACCTATACAAAATCATAAAAATGTATTATTTCATTGAATGATAATTATTAACTTATGTATTGATAACAAAATCGATTAGACATAACAAATGATCTGACATGTTATATATTTTTTACTTTTATTATAACTTATTAATTCGTCAGTATAATTCAATACATTACTTCCCATATATTTACAACATCATTTTAATAAAACATTTATTATCAGATAAATTAAAATTCTCAAAAAACGTTATGTTAATTAATATTGAATTTATAAAATGCGAATTGCTTTATAAATGCTAATTGACAAAGAAATAGCGTTGTGTGAAAGACACACAATTATGCAATATCCAAATGAAGAAATTTCGTTAATTTTAATCAGTAACGACACGCGAGTCGTAAATTGGAAGATTTGTTAAACCAAAAAAAAAGTGTAATTTAAACAGAATACACCTTAATACGAACTAATTAAATTATTATCCCTTAGAAGAGATTTAAGAGATTAGAAAAAAAGAAGAAAAAGAAAAATTTGATAGAACCAAACGTGTAACAAACAAAAACGCTTCTATGTCTAACAGAAATGACTCATATAGAATAAATGAACTTAATATAAACTATTATTGACAATGTAATGTGTGAAAAGTTATTTTTTCTGCATACAAACGTGTGTGTACATTTTATTAGCATCATTTTCCATGCTTCGGTAAAATCGATAAAAAAAAGAAGCGATTTGTAACGATTTATTTGAAATACCCGATTCAAGTTGAAAAGAAATACTAACACGTGGTTGGTTAGTTGATAGGTGAATAAGAAAGAGGGTTTTACAGTTTATCTACAGACGAGTTAGGAGAAAGGGAGATAAGGAGTAGAGGGGGTGTAAGGGGATGGGGTGAGACAGTGAGGTTGCGTGTAAGGGACAGAAACAACTTGGAGGGAATATCTTTCCTTCTATTGTGGAGGGGACGCCTATGATAAAACTGTTAGAAATAGTAGCCTGTTGATCCATTACGCTTGCCAGTTACAGACGCAACGTTCGTCGGTGTCGGGTCGCATCGAAAAAGTAAGTTCGGTCGTTAGAACACTCATGATAAATATTTATATACATATAGGAACACAAAACACACATCTACACACACACACACACACACACACCCATAAATGTATTCTCTTATCTATGATTTTTGAACTAAAAAATAATGATAAATTTGAATAAGATTTGAAAAGTGATATTTATTAAGGGATTCATACAAATGTTTGATAAATTGGATTCTATATTTTTGTTCCTAATATTTTGTACGTTTCATTTTTTTTTATTTTATTATTTTTACTATGATTGGAATTAATGGTTTATAATAATATTTATTTTAATTTTATTCGAGAGTGAACATAAGGGATATTATTTTCTTTTCTTTTATTTTTCTTTCAAATAAAATCATCTCTCTTGAGAATGATTTTATTATTAGTTTAAACAACACTCACTTTTATACTTATTCAACATATTTCGTTACTTGAGATATCAAATGTAATAAGTGATAAAATACATGTAATTCTATACAGTTAAATAACGCAGTTTTTGTAAGTGTGATATTATTATATTATATAAACGCCATATTATAGCAGTTTGAAAGGCATCTTTTGAAGAGATCTTATCGTCGACATTAAGAAGGTTGACACATCAACAAAAACTAGTTCACGCGATATTGAGTGTTATCGTAAATTCTTTTCAACGTATACGAATTATCAAAAATTTGAACAATCCAATGGTTTAATGGAAATGATCATATTAAAAAGAATTTTTAAGTTACATAGAGAGAAAGAGAGAGATAGATAGATAAAAGGTAAGTTTACCTGTAATCTTATTTTATCTCAATTATATTTTCTTTTTAAATCAAACTAAGAAAAAAAAAACAATATATTTGAAACAATAAGTTTAACAATAAATATAGAGTTCAATACGTTGAAAATAATTTTTACGTAGTGTCAGTATATGAAAAATGAAAAGATTTATAAAAGCTAATGAATTCATTCAAAACAACATTTGCAGAGGCTATTAATATTTGAAAGATACTTACACGATACAATGCTTGAATCGATAATTTACTACTTGCAAAAAACAATACAGGTTAAAACCACTTTTTTTTTACAATTGATAGACTAATAACCAACGCATGTCAGAAAACCAATGCGTTCGTGATTAATTCGTGAGACATTAAATAATAAATAACAATTTTTTCCTAAGGAACATTTAATAATTACCTCATTACTTTTTTTTTAAAATTAACGTAAATCGATTATTTATAATATCATAATAACATAATAATTCAGAATAATAATATCACATAATAATTTATAAAATAATAATAGGTCTGATGATAATTGTGAACCTTTACGTATTTTCTGGATACTTATTTTATATTTTTGCTAGTATAAATTTACTGTTATGTAAAATATACACTAAAGATATTATTTTTCTCGTAAGATGACTATTCTTACAAATATTTTTATAGATAATCGGTTATATTGACTCTTATATAACAACATTTATATAATTTTTAACAATTAGTGTTTAGTTATTTAAATATCGTAAATTTAAAAAGAGAAAAACAATAATACTTTTTAAATGAGATGTCAAAATATCCACGATAGTACTTATGTTAATTTACGGTTATAGAAAAAAAAAACTTATCTAATTTACGGTTATAGAAAAAAAAAAAACTTATCTAATTTACGTGCAATGTACAAAACAAGTTCATTTAATATTCTTTTCATAAAAAACCTATGAGGTTTTCAATGATAAATGTTATTTCCATACGACATATTAAAATAATTAAATACACAATTAATCAATTTCCATATGAAAATAATAACCAATATATTGGTTATATAAGATAATTAATTAGGTAATTATATACATCAAAATCGATCAATCAATTATAATGATACATAGATAAAATAATAAACAGTTACATTTCGTAAAAAGATAAACTATTCTTAGCATGATTATTAATTTTAAAATTAATAAACATAACGTTCAATAAGTTTAGAATATAATTAAATAGATAATTGTTTCGAAATCATCATCTACTGTTAACTTTGTAGAAAAATACTAGGTTGTAATGAGAAACTATTAAAAAAAAAAGTTCCTCAAATCAAAATACGTACACATATCCAAGTAATACTAATCTTCCCTTAATCTTATTATAATTGATAACAAAAACTCAAGCTCAAACAACACATCTAAATTAAATCCTTTGAAACACAAATATTACTTTTGAAATAATTATTCGTTAATCATAAAAGTAAATTTAAATAATTCTATCGAATAATCGAACTTTCTTCTGTTTAGAAAATAATTATAATTATTCCAATAAATTGAAATTTCTTTATTTATAAAAGAAAGTGACTAATATTGAAAATCTTATTAAAAACAAAAAAAGAATTGAAGACAAATCCAATACAAATTTAAATGTGTCTAATTTAAAATTAAACACAATACTGTCTAATAGAGATAAACAATCATTCTTTTCTCTCTCTCTCTCTCTCTCTCTCTCTTATAACCTTATCTTGTAACTTAACACAAGAGTAAATAAGGGAGAACGGGATGGTGTTAGATCGAAGATTCTATGAAGCAAGAGTCAAAACATTACTATTTATGGATTGTGTGTAGATATATATGTGTATACATAGATATATGTATACTGTATTCATGTCAAATCAGAAGACGAGACATACATATATATAAATAAGGGATAGATTAGATAGGATTTTATATTTCAGAGACCGAAAGATCAGTGAGAGTAATAGAACGGTCAGCAGCAGCAACAGCAGTAGCGTGATTCAGTAAGCGGAAGAGCAACGAGGTGGGGAGAGGGAGGTAATCGTGAAGGAGGAGGTGGTGGTGGTGGTGGTGAAGGAAGAGGAGGAGGAGATCGACGTTTATTGAGTTCAGGGTGCACATGCTGAAAAGACGGGAAATAACGAACGTTCTAATTTATAGTCGTCTTCGTCCTTACTATAATATACGTCATCAAAATGAAGGCTTTTATTGTATCAGCTATAGTAATAGTAACAGGAATATTCGTATTTATTTTGGGCTATTATTTGGCTGTTCACAATGTTGCCCTATTTACTCGTATCCTTCACGAGGTGAGCAAATTCTATTATTTTTTCTTTCTACCAATCTTCAAAATAAAAATAAACAAAATTTATTTAATTCAATAGGACTTATATTACATTTTCCTATTTTTTTTTTATCTAGTATAATTATTAATTTGTAATATATAATTTAATTTTTAATATAAAAAATTTACGAAATACGAATACTTACCTTGGATATTTGTTTTTCGTTACGATTTTTTATTAATACAAGCGAGTTATAGAAGTAAAGTATATCATAGTATTTATATCTACATCAAAAAAAGAAGTAGATTTTTATTATTACAGATAATTAATATACACTATAGATAGAAATATTTTTTTTTTGAAATCGTATAAACATTGAAATTAATATGATTCAACATTATGACGAACCTTGAACAGGTAATTTGCATCGAGAAAAGTTTTAATACGCAATCAACACATTACCATTTTTCTTTTTACTTTTTACTAAAGATCTAAGGAGACAACATTATTTTGTATAATAATCATCAATAACTATAACAAATGATAAAAAACTCATAGAAAAAAACTACATTGCAGTATAATTATTACTCAGTAGATTTAAATAGCAATAATTATGAACATATACAATAAACTATTTTCTTTTTTGGTATAATAATCTTTTGTTATTCTTGAATTTATTATTTAAATAACTTTTGAAGAGTTTTTTGTTTGAATCTTCATTTTTTTCATGATTATTTTTATAATCGACAGATTTTATTCGTAATATTAAAACAATAAATAAAAATATGTATAATATTATTCAATTTTTCCAGCAAATGGTTCTATCGGAAAATTCAAAAAGTTACGAGTTTTGGAAGGATACGAGTAATCTTCCACCTATGCATTTAGATTTATACTTTTTTAATTGGACGAATCCAGAAGATCTGACTCTTCCTGGTGTTAAACCAAATTTTGTACAAGTCGGTCCTTATAGTTTTTTGTAAGTGTTTCAAAAACAAATCAAATATCATTATAAAATAGTTCTTAACATTTCTATGACCTTAATAAAATTAATAAGACGTTGATAAGATAGTAATTTTAATTTTTAATTAATTAGTATTTCAACTGATTATCAATTAGTTTATATAATATATTATATTTAACCCCTTTCTACAATGTTTCGAACAGTTTAATGGTAATCAAATTTAATTATTGCTTTGATTTGTCCATTATCAACTTCATTTAACCGGAACGTTGGTTATCTTTGAATAAAAAATCTGAATTATTTAAACCAATTTTGGAAAAACGTGCATCCTATTAAATAATCAACACCACGAACTTTACATATCTGTTTGTGAACTTTTGATTTTTCCACTTCGTGTTAAAATTGATCCTAAACTAAGCAAACAAAATTACACTTAATTAATTGATGATGGTATTTAATCGTTTTACAAAAAAAGACATTATAAATATTTAGTATATAAATTATTCTAATTTTAATATTACATAAATGAATACTAATGGAAAATCTAATAATGATAAATAAGAAATACTTAACCTCATAAAATGACATCTTAATGAGCAATAAAACCATTCAGTCAAATAATAAAGGAGTGCGTAGGCGACACTATATGAATTAATTGTTTAATTGATTTTTTTTCTTTTGTTTTCAAAAGGAACTTACCGTAATATTTCTATCAACGAAAAGACTCATTATTATCTTTTACTTCTCAGGTCACTAGCTATCTTACTTATAATTGACTTTTTCTCATATCTATCAATTAAAAATATTCTTATTATCAAAATAGGAGATAAATAGAGTTCAACAATTTATTTGGTACTTCAAATGTTTCTCACAAGTATATTGCATGTTTATAAAATGATTAGAAAAATTCATTTTTATTACGTGATCATCCATTCAAAGAACAAATGCATGCTTCTATGAGCTTAATGATTTTTTTATTTCAATATTTCTCGTTTCTATGAAAAATTATTTCTCTTATAAATATTTTTTATCTCATTTAATTTGTACATCATTACTCGAGATTTACGTAGGGTAATAAAAAAATCCATTTAATTGATCAAATGGAAAAAAAACTGTGATTACGCAACTAATGTTAGATTATTACTTTTGTAGCAGTTATTAACTATGAATAGTATACAAATAATGGTAATATACTAGACATTGTTAATAGACATAATATTCATTATAATTATTAATCAACTATCTGACACTTTACATATTAAATGTGAAACGTCTTGCATTTTAATTCTTGTTTATTCATACGATAATAAAAAACTTAGATGACGAAAAGAAAAAGAAAGAAAAGGAAAAATAATTGAAACGAATCGTTAAAGAAGAATATTTTTCTAATATCTCGTTACAGAGAGATCAAGAAAAAAGTAAATATTACCTTTCATCCAGAAAATAACACCGTGAGTTACTTTCAACAACGATTCTGGTATTTTGATCAAGAACGTAGTAATGGAACATTGCAAGATTATATCATACAACTTGATGCCGTAGCAGTAGTAAGTAATATCCTTTGATCTATTTGATTTGATTTTATTTTATTTATTATAAGAATTAATTACGATGAGATTGATCGAATATGTTTCAGTCAGCCACGCACAAAATACGTAATTGGTCATATTTCATGCAAAACACCCTTTCCTATTTACTTACCTCGAAATCTGATTTAAGTATAAGAAAGACCGTTGACGAATTGTTGTTCACCGGTTATGAGGATACATTAATTAACATGGGAAAGATTGCAGCTTCACAGGATATGCCACCCTTTGATCGTTTCGGTTGGTTTTATTCGGTATGATAATATATATATTAACATATGATATATTTATTTTGTACAATTTCATGAATTAATTAAACAAACTTATAAAATTACAAGTTTGATCATCGAAATGAAATGAAGTATAGAACATTTTTTTCATCGAAAAAAAAAAAATATTAATTTATCATCCAATTGGTTATTGTTTATTTTATTTAGACGATTCTGTTAGGTGGTGGTAATAGTCGTGTGTGGTAATGGAATTATAGATAGTAGTAAATTATTCGCAGGCAAAGCCTTAAATTGCTACTGTACAAGGCGGGTCACGTATACACGTTGAATAACGAATGAAAAGCAATGGGGGCATATTATGTATTAATTTGTTGTGTCATGCGTGCAACATCAATGGTCGGTTAATTTAAGATTGCATCGTTTCGTCTCAGAAAAGCGTTATATATTTATTGTTTTATGACTTTTCCTCACTTTAATATTGGTTGCAATTTTTTTACAAATAATATTAACAAAATTTGCTGTATTAACAAACATGAATCTTAATATTCATGGTTTAATTTAACTATAAACAGTGAGTAGGCAAAAATTAACATAAAAGATTTTTTTAAAGCGTTATCCGTGTTTAATTAGAAGTTAAAAAAATACAGGAAAAAAATTAACGAGCATATAAATATATAATAATGCGTAAAATGTTTATAAATATTGTAGAAAAGTAATTCAACAATATTGATGTGTGTGCGTTAGTGATGTAATATGTTAATTTAATATTTTTAGAGAAATGGTTCTATTACCTTCGATGGTAACTTCAATATGGATACCGGTGCTGGGGACATCAGTCAATTAGGTGTATTGAAAAAATGGAATTACAAGGATACCACCAATTTCTTTAAAAGTCCTTGCAATGTAGTCGAAGGAAGTGCAGGTGAATTTTGGCCACCCCATCAAATGGAAGCTGATATTATTTTGTACAGTTCTGACGTATGCAGGTGAGAAAGTTTTTCGTTTATTTCGAATATATATTACAATTTTTGCAATGAAATAACCAAAAGAATAATATATTTATAATATTAATTATTGCATGAAAATTTAAATGAATAATTTGAAATCGTATCTGTCGACGTTTTTAAATATTTTTATATTTTACAATTGCATCACTTTTTTGATTTAAAAATGTATTCTTTTATTTTTACGGACAACAGAGATAGCATTGAAAAAAAAAAAAAAAACAAACAAAGAACCTTAACCTCTGCAGACTTTATTCGTATATATTAACCTTCGTGACGTTTCTATAATAGGATCGGTCAGTAATCTCATTTATTTAACAGATAGGTACAAATTTAAGACACTTATCGACGTCTGTCACAGTGCCGAGAGGGTACGGTCAATGCTGCTCTCTATGCTTTTAAAATTTAACCTACTAAAAATACAATTTGTTTCTTTAACGATTTAAAACAAAAACACCAAAAAAACCATTAGTTAATTTTATTGGGCAAAGTATATAAAAAAAAACTCGGCGAGTTTTTTTTTCTTCTTTTTTTTTTTTTACAGAGATTCTTTGTACGAAAATAAAAATAACAAGCACAGTATTAAAAGAATTTCTGTTCGTTGTGTATTTTTATTCACATAATTTAACGCTCATAATAAACATTTTTATATATTTTATATATTTCTTTTTTTATCTTTCTTTTTTTTTAACATCAACACGATTGTAACAATTTTAAATAAATTTAATAATATTTTGCCGTTAGTAGTAACATCATAGGTGATTTCGTTAGTCAGCAGTTAGTCAAACGCAGTCAACAAAATACGATATGTTATTTTGTCATTTCAATGTTTATTTAACAATACATACCGATGATATTTTTAGAAAAACAATTCCTTTCACTGTCTCCGTTTCCTAGTCATTTTTCATTAAAATCTTTTATAATATTTTCTTCATTATTTTATTTAATATATTTCAATAATTGATTATTTTTGTTATATTTACAGAACATTGACGTACGAATTTGAGAAACAGATTGATTATATGGGTATCAAAGGTAATAAATATACACTTGATAAAAAATCATTAGCAAACAATACAAAAAAACGTTTTCCACATGACCAAGCTAAATATTTTGAGATTACAACTACGACTGAGGATTTCTTCGAGTCCGATTATTCGGAGGAAGTTACCCAGACGCCTAAAGACAACGATGATCCTGACGTTGTTAATTTAGGGAATTGTTATTGCAATGGTGAATGCAATCCTAGTGGATTAATAAATGTTACTTTATGTCGTTACGGAGCACCTGCCTTTTTAAGTCTTCCTCATTTTTACAAAGCTGACCCTGTATTTGGTAATCAAGTCATAGGGATGAACCCTAACGAAGAAGATCACAGTTTTTACATCGTTTTAGAACCGGTAAGTTATTTTCTATCTTTAAATAAGTAATCTTTATAATAAGAAACTATAAAAATGGATTGAACAAATGTTTGCTTGATTAAATGCAGGTGTTCAATTCTTATCTCATTTATCTTTGACCGATAACAATATAATAACACACAAAAATTTCAAAGTCTAACGCATTTCTATTACAATCAGTTAATAGCTAATAATTTTATTCTAATATTTTAATATTATTTATTTATTATTAAACAATTATTTCTTGGTAATCTGTCAGACTACCGGAATACCTTTAGAAGTAGCTGCTAGGTTACAAGTAAACATGCTCATTCAACCATCTCATACCATTACGTAAGTACATTTTCTTTTTAAGTTACAGATAAAAGTTGATGAGCTTTTTTCATTTGTAATTAAAAAAATTTATTGTTACTTTATTTTTTTTCCTAGACTTTTCAAAGATATTCCAAAGATGTACTTCCCAATATTTTGGTTTTCCATGAAGGTAAAAGCACCTGAACAATTTATATCCGAATTGAAAACTGTGTTCATACTTAAAGACGTAATGTTATGGTCTGGTGTTTTCCTAATTCCAACTGGAGTTACCATGATATTTTCAACTATTATTTACCTGTACTTTAGAAGGAATACAGAAGTTCACGTGAGTCGATTAGTTTTTATTTGACGTAATTTATCGATATCTTAATTTTTTTTCTTTTTTTTGTGTTTTTTTTTTGTTGTTCATACAATCAGCAAGGAACTCTTAACAATAATATTAACAATAACGATCTTAACAATATTGGAATGACTATATTGAATAATAGAAGAACATTTTAGGAACAATTAAAATTGGAGAACGCGAATGGTTCTTCAAAGAAAAATGTGGAATCCGTCTACTTGAACAAAATAAATCCCGATGATGACACTCACGTCAGAAGTAATCATCAATTGTATCCGAAACTTTATTGATGAGTTTATTATGTTGTTGTTTTTTGTTTATCTTTTTTATCAGATCATCCTACTTGTGACAGTTGTAGTCGAATTTGAAGATTGATTATCTTAAATTCGTCCAGTGAGTCTTGACAGACAACTATTCTCGATCGAGCTTCGATAATTTTTTGACCAAAAGAGGAAATACTTATCCTTATTTAAACAAATTACCGTCGTCAATCAAATCGATAAATATATAGATGATATATGTATATATATATATATTTACGTATATTTATACATGTACGAATATTTTGATACTATTATTAGAAAAAAAATGCGCAAAGTAAGTTTGAATGGTTAGATATACATTTTTTAAATTAAAAAATTTAATTATATCTAATCATCGTCAAACGTTTGTACGCTGAATATACCAATGATTATAAGTTCCATTAACATTATACAAAGATTTTTACAAATATTTTCTAAGATGTTATATAATCCTGTAACATTGAAATACATTCCTGATTTAGAAATTAGTTTATGTAAATCGATTAAGATTATAAGATGGTAGAATTTAAGACTGAAGGATATTTTTAATTGTTATCATTGTGATAATTACATTATTAATGAATGATAATACAAACAAAATGAAAAAGGCTAAATGCAGCCTTGAATATTATAGATTTTTAATATATATAAATTTTTTAAAGACTTATATATGTTCGAACCAAATATTGAATTTATCATTGAATTAATAATGTAATTATAAGAAACAGAAAAATGATGACGGAAATGATTTCTGTGTTAGAAAAGATTATTTGGTTACAAATAACATCGTTGTGCCTTGTACATTGTACTACAAACAATTATTATGAAAAGAAATTGTTATTAATAATATTATCTTATTAATAACAATGATGTTCTTACATTTACATAGAATACATTTTTTAATTAATATTTGTACGTTTCATTTCTGTATTTTTGACATTAATGTTTTCTATGAAGCCTCTGAACTTTAGATATTTGTTAATAAATTATTTAAAAGTACGTAAAAATTGGAAAATAATAGACAAATAATTATTTGATATTATTTGAATTTTTATTATATAAAAGAGAACAATTTTATAGAAATATATTTTAGTATTGCTTTATGAGAAAACATTCATGATTCATTTTTTCTTAATGCGCAATCTGTTACAAAATCAAAATAACTACGTTTACATATATTTGTGCCAAACATTTTTGTTAAGCTCGAAAATCTACGGTTGAACTTATATGTTTTAACATTTTTTACTAGATAGTCACGAATACGGAAATTTATATAGTTTTTATACCTGGTGTTGTGCAATATGATTTATTTAACAGCGTTGAACAAACCTCATAGAAAGATATAACATAATAGATGTCTATTAAAAAATTGTAAACTATTAGAGCTTACAAAATTGTATAATTGTATAATTATACAAAAAATTGTAATAAAATAAAATTGTATAATTTCGAATATAACACACAATAATATTAATTTTATTTAAATGATACAATTTCATTAAATTAAATTAATTTAATTTATCATTAAAATAAATATAAAATTATTGTGTTATATTTGAAATTTATCTAATAGAATTATAAAATTTTTATAGTAGGAAATATATTTAGTGAAATAACTTCGTTTGCAAGTATAAAACTTGCTTGTAGTACACCTCGCTGTTTTATTTAATTATAGGGTTTATGTTTCTGTCTAGATTTATTTTGCATAAATTTTGTAGAAAAAATCAATTGTAATAAATGATCTATCATTTTTATTATATCGTCAAATTTTATTTTGGTATTGTAAGATTTCAGAACAATAATTTGTACAAAAGTATCCTGCGTTATTTAATTACCTGTGCTCGATATATTCAATAGTTACCTGAAATACTCGCAGTTGATAAAGTAAATTACTTCTATATTTATATTTATTAATTTTTAATATTAAACTTTACAATTGAATTTATGAAACAAACCTTTTTGTTTTTAATTATTATATCTGACTCAAAAAAATCTCTGGTATGATAAAAAAATATTTTATTAATTCGCAAAAATAATTATAATCTTTAATTAATAAATATTTGTTGTTACTGAGAGTACTAACATAAAATAAACTATTATTAAATAGTTGTAAAAAGCTTAAATATAAGAATTTATTAGGAATTTAATAAAACAAACATAAAAGTATATCAACGAAGAAACCTAAACAGGTTGTTTCAATACCATTCAAAACTTTAGGGTAAAATAAATCTTGCAACACTATTAGAGAGAACATAAAAAAAGAACAAAAATTATAAACTAATATAATTATTAATATAACAATATATGTTAAATGTATTATTAAATATCAATGGAATGATACGATTCGAATAATTTGGAATTTTTCAAATAATATGGAAAGAATTTCAAACACGTTTAGGTAGAATCGTAACATTTCTAAAGAAATGGGCCAAAGAAAAGAAATTGTGATATTGAAAGAGTAGGGTTTCTTATAAAGGACTGAATAGACTTAAAGGGAGATATCTTCCCTTGTAGAGGGGACACTACCAATGACACTGTTAGACGTTAGCCCGTTAATCTATTAGGTTTCCTCAGTTGAACACGAAACACACGTTGTGTCGTATGTTTCAAATTAAGTTCGATCGTTAGAGCATTTACAAATATATTTAAACACGACTACGCAAACATATAAATATTTCTATTTATCTTAAAATTTAGAAAAAGTGATATTATTTATATTAAAAATTATTTATCACTAAAGGGATTTATCGGTAAGTAAAATTAATTAAACTAAATATTTTTAATAATTATTTTATTAGAATTATGAAGATTTTGTATCAGTAATTAATTTGTTTTTGCAATTTGAAAAATTGATATTAAACGTTGATATTAATTTTTTGTTAAACAAATATAATAACATTGTGATTTTGTAATAAGTAATTTTAATTTGTTTTTGTAATTTGAAAAATTGATATTAAACGTTGATATTAATTTTTTGTTAAACAAATATAATAACGTTGTGATTTTGTAATAAGTAATTTTAATTTGTTTTTGTAATTTGAAAAATCGATATTAAACGTTGATATTAATTTTGTTTTAAAATATAATAATATTATGATTTTGTTATTAGTTTAGCCAATCGATGTATCGGTTGTAGAAAAAAAATATTAATTTATTATTTATCGATAAAGATCAATATTAAATATAATGAGATATATTAAAGTAGAGAAATCTTCCTTGAAATTCATTATAATTAATTAGAAAAATTAATAGAGAATTAGATCATTCGAGAATGTCATTGCACGAAGCAAAAATGCTTTTAATTAATCTCTAAAGCAAATTTAAATAAGAATACTGAATGTTTTCCGGTTTGTTTAGTTAGTATTGTTAAAAGGAAACAAAAGATTCGTTATTACGTATCAAAACAACTATATGACAACTATTCCTATTTATATTAGGAACGGTGAACAATACTTTGTGTACATTTAAAAAAAAAAAAATAAACATAGAATGATCGGTGGTATAATTAGAAACATACATAGTTTGAAAAAGATAAACAATACTTATCTCTCTCTCTCTCTCTCTCTCTCTCTCTCTCTCTATTATTTATTTTTATCTCATAAATTTAATTAAATAAACATTCTTAAAAAATAAGTAAAATAAAAGGATTGCTTTGTCAAAAATTGTACAAAGATAAAATCAAAACGTTGCCATTTATGGGCCGTAATAAAATTAATATGTACATGTGTATATGTAAACAAACTCATGTGTGTGTTTATATTCTCACATTTATACAATACTATCAAAAAGATCGGATCATTTTACCGACATTTTGAAGTCAAGGGTACGTGGTTTTTATTTGTTCAAATACCCATCGATATTACTAATTATAAATATTAAACAATTGTTTAATTTTCGTTGTGTTTTAAACGTTTTCTATATGAATGTTGAATCCAGAGAAATATACATTATTAAAAGATTAAAACAAAAATAGGATTTTTATTTTTCAGAAACTGAAAGAACAATGAGAGTAATGAAACGGCCACACTGCCAGTAGTTTAATTAAAGAAGGGAAAAATAAATAACGGGTGGGGTAAAAAAACAACAACGACCTTTATTATTAAATTCAATGTGTGCATTTGAAAAGATAAAAATTATTGAATCGTTTAATTTTACAGCGAATTATTCTAACAAGTCAACTAACCAATCATCAAAATGAGGACTATATATAGATGGTTACTTAAAACTCTCATTGTAGTGATTATCATAGTGTGTCTGGGTTTAGGATCGTATTTTGGATGCAGCAGTATTTATAACAATTATATTCGAAAAGTGAGATGATCATTTTTTTTTTTTTTTTTTTAAACAATAAGTATCTGTGAATCCTCATTAGCTCGTGATTAGTAAAAATTAATAATTTTAATACATGTAACATTTATTTTATTAAATTCAATATTATAATTTTTGCAGAATATTATTCTTAAATATAATTCAAAGTATTACAAATTTTGGTCGGACACAAGTAAACAACCGTCTACACATTTAGACTTTTACTTTTTTAATTGGACGAATCCTGATGACTTGAATAAACCTGAGAAGAAACCTAATCTAGTACAAATTGGTCCGTATAGTTTTGTGTAAGTATTAGAAAATGAAATGAAATATCGTCTAAATCAGTGGTACCTAAATTTTTTCTATTATCGGCACACTTATTGAAATCAGGTTTCTTACATTTTTTGCAAATACATCTCTTGCAATTATACATATATTAAAAAATATATATATTATAAATAAATTTTCTAAGTTTTATTTAAAAATAGATTTAGTAATATGAAATAAATAATATATCCATCTTACTGAAAATAATTGTCATTAGAATCTAATGTTAGTTAGTGATAAATTCAATTTTTAACTTATACTTCGTTTCGAAAGTACGAATGCCATGCTACAAAAATCAGAAGAGGTAAAAAGATCTGATGAAGTGCATCATTTAAATGATGCAATTGTTGTTTATACAGGTCAACCGTTATCGTATTTTCTGAGGCATTAACAATTATCTGAGGCCATTCTGAACGAGGTTGGTCGTCTACATTCAAATTACCAACTTTTAAACCTTTTGAACAACTTTTCACGTGTCCATATCTTCCTCATAAGTTTTGCAAATTTTTACTTTATAATTTTATAGCATAGATGTAACACGCTAGAATTAACCATACGTTTAACCATACGTTTAAACAAAAATAGTTTTGCTTATTCCGCTTGCTTTCGCATTAATTTAGTATGATGTAAAAAAATATACATTTTAATTGTATGCTATCAATGCGCATGTTGCTAACGCGTATGTGGTTATTGATCGCTTCTTAGATTAAATAAACGTAACTGTTCAGTAGGATATTTGCATAGATAATAAAAAAAAAGTAATTTATTTATGCAAACATTGAATGTTTCCCTTTTTTTTTTTTTAATAGCGATAAGAGCTTCGAAGCTGTATATATTGCTTATTAAAAAGCAAAAAGAAGATAATTAATGTAAATAATTATTAAAAGGTATGTTTTAATATCTCGTTACAGAGAGATCAATCAAAAGGTGAATATCACGTTTCATTCAAATGGCACAGTCAGTTACTTTCAACGACGATTTTGGTACTTTGATGAAAAACGCAGTAATGGAACATTACAAGATAAAGTTTCTTTACTTAATGCCACACTAGTGGTGTGTATCCCTTTTTACTTTTTTTTTTTTTATATATTACATAACTTATATAAAGATTAATCAACGTATTTCAGTCAGAAGGGAATATAATAACGTTGCAACCATATTTGATGAAGAAAAGTTTTTCTAACCTTGTTAAAAAACAATCAAAATTACGTATAATTAAAAGAGTCGGTGATTTGCTCATTGGATACAAGGAAGTTTCATACTTTAAACATTTTAACAAATTTTTATATCTTTCTAAGGTAATACCAATATATGAAAATATAATAACATAATTACACAAACTCATTGCATCGATACATTTTAATATGCATCAAATTGATTAAAATTTAGAGAAAAACAACAAATTCAAATCGAATAATTATTGTTTATTTAAATTTGACATCAATTTATTATCTATACTAAAATATTTCTGTTTAGATGACACGTTTGATAATTACTTGACGTAGAATATTGATCATTTTACTTTTCCTCATTTCTTTTTTTTTCCTTTTTTTTATTTAGCCTCTTTGATGGTAATAGTCATCGTCTGGTAATGGAATTATAGATTGTAATAAATTATTCATAGATCCAAGACTTATTACTGTCGTGTAAAATTTACATCTTATATTGAATGGAACAAAAAAAAAATTGAGAACATATTTTATATTAATTTATTAGATATCTAATCAAGAAGATGATCTGTGTAAAACTTGTGATAATAAAAAATTATATTATTAATTAATATTTTTTTTTTTTTTAGAGAAATGGTACTATAGATGGAGATAATTTTAATGTAGCTACCGGTGAAAAGAACATTAGTCAATTAGGTCTTTTAAAAAAGTGGAATTACAAGAATACTTCGTCGTACTTTGAAAAAATTTGCAATCAAATTGAAGGAAGCATTGGTAACTTCTGGCCTCCAAATCCAATCGATAACGAAATCAAATTATTTATGCCTGAATTATGCAGGTAAGAGAGAATTGTTCAATAGAAATGATTTTTTTCCTTTTATTAATTATTATATTAAAATTTAATAACTTTTAATAATTTAAATTATGTTATTAACTTTTGTATTAATTATATTTATAATTATTTTTATACTTTTGTATTAATTATATTTATATTTATTTATAATTATAAATCATGTTAATAACTTTTTTTATTAATTCCTTTTATAATTGTTTTGTTATAATTTTATCTGTACAGAGCATTGATATATGAATTGGATAAAAAGACAGATTATATGGGTATGGAGGGCTATAAGTATACCATGGACACAAAAACTTTAGATAATTATAGAGATATATGTTATCTATTGAAAGTACCACAACATTTTGAAGTTCAGAATTTAGATGATATTTGTGAACCAAAGAATATTTCAGAAGATTGTTATTGCGATAAGGAATGCAATCCGATTGGTTTCATTAATATAGGATACTGTCATTACGATGGACATATTTTCTTCAGTCTTCCTCATTTTTATAAAACCAAACCTAGGTTAAGGGATCTAGTCGTAGGTTTGAATCCAAACGAAGAAGAACATAGTTTTTACATCATTTTAGAGCCCGTAAGATTTGTTCATATTATTAAATAAATAATATTTATTAAAAAACTATAAATAGATGAACAAAATATTCTTTTTTCTATTGAAATTTTTATCAATCAATTAATCATCAATTATTTTTAAATCTTACAGAATACTGGTATGCCTTTGGAAATAGCAGAAAGATTGCAAATCAATTTACTCCTACAAACATCTACTGACAAGATGTAAGTATATTTTAAATAATAAAATAAAAAAAATTAATTGTATAAAATTTGATCAATCAATTGAAAAGTATAATGAAAGCTTTTCATTAATTAGTCAAAGTATTTGGTTCAATTGTTTATGTTTTCCTAAGGTTTCTTCAGAATATTTCATCGATATACTTCCCAATTTTCTGGTACTCTAAGAAGATAAAATTACCCGAAGAATTAGCTTTCGAACTACGAGATATAATTTCATTTGATTCCTCAATGTTGAAATCATTTATCGTAATTATAATCTCTGCAATACTCATATACTGCTTGGCATCAGGATATTATGAATTCTTTTCTATAGGTCGTAGGGTGAGTAATTTGATTTTTATATGAACATAGAATATTCATCGTTATTTGTCTTTTCTGTATCTTTTTTTTTTTATTTAACATGAAATCGTTTAGAGAATATATACAGTCAGAAATGAAGCAGAAATGATTATATTGGATGAATACTAACAAAAATTGTTAGATAGAATGTAAACAATTCAAATTGATACTCTCAAGAATGATATTAGTCTACTCGAACAAATTGAATCCCAATGAAAATGCTCGTTTTAAATGTGATCTTCAATTTTATTTGAAATTATTAGAGAATTTGTAATTTTTTCTCTACTAATAAGTTATAATCGAATTCAACGTTTTATTTGATTAAAAAACTGTCTTTTAAATATTATAAGACAGAGTATTAATCGATCTCAATTTATTATTTTGATCGAATGGAATGCTTATCCATACTGATCAAATTTAAGTCATAATTAATATCATCAAATTTGATTAAATTATATAAAAATTGATACACATATGTATTTATATTTATATATGTATTTATATATATATATACACACAATTGTGATACATATATATGTATATATATATTATATAAATGTGTAAAAAATAATCTTATGTATGTATATATATGTTAATATTTTATGTATTGAAATTAATTTGATATCATTCTAAAAGTCATCAAATTAATTTTCTTATGTAAATACGTAACATATTTTTACATATATGTATATACATGTAGAATCACTTTTTATACAAAATTTGAAATCATTGACATGGTAAAAATACCAATTTCCATATTAGCAATTATAATTGCATAGTCAAATGTTCGTAAATTGAAAAAAAAAAGAACCAACGATTAAATTTCTTTTAATTTACCTAGAAATATTAATATTTTACGATATTATTAATAAATATTTTATGAACGATCATTTTCATACATTTGAATATATTATTTTAGTAAAATTGATCAAGATCGTAAAATTCTATAATTTTTGAATATGAAATAAAAAATATTAACAGTAAAAAAGGAAAACAAAAATATCATCAAAGAAAAAGTATGCATCCTATATAGTTTTCTATATAGTGTTCCTAAAGATTATAAATGTCCGAAAAAAAAATATTAAATATATTTCATAATGAAAAATGTTTTTAGAAAGCAGAAAACTGTTGACGGAATAATTTGTACCATTCATTTGTAAAAATTAATTGATTACAAATATCTGTTTACGTTGTTGTGCTTTTTTAAGTATGAATTGTGTTACAATAATCATTTGAAAAATTGTTATTTATAATTGTCATTTTATTAATAACAATTTTCTTATATATTTTTATATTAATCTATTAATTTTAACTTATATATTTTTTTATTCCAATTTCATACAAAAATTTTAAAATAATCGACAGACAAATATCTTTCCAATAAAGTTTTTATAAAAGTTTTAATATTCATATTAGAATAAACTTTATTTTATAAAATTTTTGTCTGTCAACCATCAAGGAAATATTTGTAATTATTTAGGAACGTAATTGATGTGTTAAAAGATAAGAAAATACTACTACGTTTGCGTATTTGTGACAGACATTATTTGTTATAGTCTTGCTTTGACGACAAAAACAATCGAAATTAATTTTAATAACTGTAATGTATTGCAATTATTTTATTTACCAATTTCTTGCAATCATTAATATTATACTATTTAGATATGATTTAATGTAACATTATTGTGTATTGGTGTTAAATTTTGCCAAATTTCACAGAAAAACACGATAACTATAATTTATTAAGCATTAATTTTGTATGACATTAAATTTTAATAAACAAAATTTATACTTTTCATTTAAAAATCGATAATCTATTATTTTTTCTTCAAAATTCAAAAAAAAAATATTTTGCAAAAGTATCTTGCTACTTCGTTATTTAAATAATCGATATTTTAAAGTAGCTCACTGAAATACTTACAGTTGATAAGGTAAATTACTTCTATACTTACACTTTTACTGGATAATAAATTTTGCAAATAAATAAATGAAACATAAATTTATTTATTTTTATTTTATTGTGTTTAAAATATCTTTATTAAAATAAAATATTTTTTCTTATTCATTTGCAGAATTAATTACTTTCTTTCAGATAGTTGCTGTTGCTATTAAAATTTGCAATTACCAAAAATTTAATTATACTAATTCGTAAAAGTTTAAAATAAGAATTAATTTTATTTTATTTAAATTAATTTTATTAGAGCAAAACTGCACTTGTTATTAATTTAATAAAATACGTAAGAATATCGATAAAGAAACCTTAACAGATTATTTCTATACCATTGGACAGTACATAGACAGTATAAGCTTTAGCAAGTAGTATCACTAATATACTTTTCTGTTAAATAATTCAGTATTACTAAGACACCCAGCTAAAACTCATTTTTTATTTATAAAACCTTCAACTTTATGGTAAGTCGAATATTTAAACTATCACCTATATAACAAAAATCATTATTTTTATTGTTAGTATGATACAAATTTAACGCCATTAAACTTGATTCAGCACCATGAAGTATGCTTCGTCATTCCAACATTTGCAAATTTTAATGTAAAAACAAAATAAAACGAATAAAATTTATTATTTTATCTTATTTTATTTGGAAATAAATTCTCAATAAATGAAAAACAATTAAAAACATTTACATTTGTAAATGTTACAAATACAATTATTCTTGACGAACCTAACCTTAAATTTCAATTGAAATGCGTGAAATTATACACGCATAATAAAAGAGGGTCACGTAGAACCTACGCGCGACTAATGCGAAACTTTATCACTTTTTTTATGTTCATAACATTATTGAATGTTCATTTATTTATATGAGATGCACGAGGTTTATACCCAATTACATTTGAATGACAAATTATAGTTTTAAGATAAGTATTTAAACAATAGGTGTACATTAAAATGTCAATTTGAAATATTATAAATATATGATGATTAAAAAAAAAAAATATCAGAAAAATACAAAATATAATAAATAAGAAAAGAAAAAAATAATATGTAAAATAAAATCTATTTAAAATAATATAATAATCTATAATAGAAATAATATGTAAAATAAAATCTATCTATAATAATATAATAATCTCTAATATCAAAATAATATGTTAAATAAAATCTATCTATAATAATATAATAATCTATAATATAAGAATAATATATAAAATAAAATTTATCTATATAATATGTAATAAAATCTTAGATAACATATCTAAAAATATATACATAGATATGTCATCGAAATAAGTTTCACATTAAAAAAAATCAAAATGTAATATTAAATAAATATTATAATTAATTTATATAAGATGTTCCGATTTTATATGATGTGTCATAGTTATCAAATAAAATCTTGAAATATATATACGATGACTTTTGTCTATTAACGTAGTTGAACGAATGATTGAAGACCGTAGTGATCCAGCATACTGATCGAGTAAAGATGTGCACTAGATAGACTCGTTAATTGATGAGACACGTCATCATTACTCTTCTCTCGATCTTCAAAATCTGTCACCTTCCTTTTGTTTCTCTTTCTCTCTCTCTCTCTCTCTCTTTCTCTCTTTCTCTATATAGAAGTGGAGCATGACCTCGACTGCTAAGCAGACTTTTACGCGTTTTGCGATACGGTCGCTCGCAACGAGAATTGTTTACTCGGAATGTTAAATATGTAAGTAAACTCAAACGACGTTGTATAAGTGCATCGGAACACAGACCACGAATAATTTACCGCATGTTTTTCGTTTTTTATTATATTATATAACATCATTTCTAATTATGAATAAACAAATAAAATGTCAAATTAATAACAACGTAACATAAACGTACGTATAAACATATGTTGTGTTTGTTTTTAATGAATGTATTTATGAATAATAAAAAATACCTCACATTATCAAGAAGAATTTTTGTATTCACATAAATATTTTCAATACGAAAACACCAAAGTAGCTTATCGCGTAAATGTATGTACATTGTTTAACAATGACGAGATAACAGATCTCCTTTACTGGTTTATCATTTGTTTTCGTTATTAGATATAAAACTTCATCTTTTTTATTATTTTTTATTTTTATTTCTCCAAATGTCAATGTACTTAAATAAATATTAGATATCTCTTTTTATCATAGATAAGGCGAACGATAATTTTAAGAAAAAAGTATGAGAGAGTATTATTGATGCGACCCATTATCAAACCTTATCGAATATTTAAAAACATAGAAAAAAAAAGTTCGTACGCTTGATAATTTCTTTGTAACTATAAAGCTAGGAGCTACGAGAGAATGTTAAATAATACAGGTAGAAATACGTAGTCGGTTTTCTCTTTGTTTCAAACGCGAACAACATTTATATTGCGGTCGTTTAATTGCACTAGGAAAAAAATAAAAATAAAATAAAGAAAGAAAGAATAAAATACAAATAAGCCTTTAATTACTATCACTACTCGTTTTGTTATTATTTTTAGCATAGTAATTTTATACCGTATCTAATTACAATGATCTAATGATTCAGTTAATTATTTCCAATGAATGTTGTTTCGAATGAAACACTAAATATCTAAACCTTCCCAAAGCGAATTTCCAATTTGTTATCATTTCATTTATTGATATAACAAGAAGTGGACGAGCATTAATTAATAATTAATTACGTTTCATGGCAATCTCAAACCAAAACCACCATTTATTAATTTGTTAATTGTTGCTTTTTTTTTTTTACGTTAAGAAAGTTTCGTAATGGTGGCGTAAAGATTAACAAAAAAATACTTTAAACGAAATTATTTACAAATTAATTAACAAGCTTAGCACTTTAAACTTTCATGGTCTGTGTGTGTGTGTGTTATAGCGTTAATAGTTAAAATAAATATTACGAACAAACCAAAGTTCAATAATATTTCTTAAATTATACAAATTGAACGTTATTCATATTCGTAAAATAAATAAATTAATAAAAAATCAATTATTTGATTAAATATTAAAAGAAGAAATAAACTTGTGAAGAACTTCACAGAATCAATTAGAATTAATTGTTAGTATAATTGTTTTTTAAACAGTTAATAGAATTACAACTTGTTAGGAAAATCCATTACCATCGGGTCCAACTATTTTTCAATTATTCAACAACTAACCGAAGTTTTCTAATGAAAGGGTGTAAAAAGGGAGATAGGTTGGACAGTGGTAGTAGAAAGGACCCATCATTTCGTTTCCTAATACGAGTTTCGTGGCTTTTGTTTTCTCTTCTTGTTTAAAGGGTTACATAAATACATTAGCGTATAAACGAAAATTGAAACGTCTAATTGTCTCGACCACCCACCCACCATCTTTTTCGATTACTGAAGTAAGAAATAATTTTCTTTTTTTTCTTCTTTTATTCAAGCCAATTTTTTTCAAGATCCTCTCGCTACTTCTTTCATCATTCACAAATGAAAGAGTAAACTTTCATTTTGGTAGACGATAAAAAATAAAAAGGGTAGAAGCTGACAACTTTTCGTTGTATCAAGAAAGCTGCTAGTAACATTTCACAATTACTTCGGATAGTACTCTCTTTTTTTTTTATTATTATTATTTTTTCTATCTTCTTCGTAGGAAATATACCAAAAGATCGTAAAGATTTCAACAAACCAGAAGGATGATCCTTCTTACTTACCTTGGCCCATATTTTAATGAACGAAAACTTCTTTTTATTTTTTTTTTCGACGTTTCTATCGAAATCAAAAGTTTATCTGTGTTTCTCATTTATTTGTTTGTTCGTTTAATAATAAATTGAAAAATATAAAACGTAAGAAGCTTTTAACAAAAGCTTAATATAATTGCTAACATATTTACACGCAATGAAAATGGATACTGACACGCAAACTTTATTAATAACCTAATGTCATAAAAAAAAAAAAAAAAAAAAAAAAAGAAACAAATTGAACGTATAATTTACGCTATCGTCGTTGTTTTAATAGATCGAGTTAATTAGTGAAAAAGAAAAAAAATGTCTAATGAAGCCTATATAAAAAGGATTTATCGCAACCACGGGGAATAAACCACAAAGTTTTGCGAAAGTTTAAAGAGCATCAAAGGGCCGCACAATTATGTCGTTAAATAAATAAAACATACATCTCCTAGAAAAATTGCGCATGGACGTGGACGACAAGGCGCGAACGCTTAGTTGACCTATTAATCCGATTGACCTCGCCATACCAGTACAATTATCGTGTATTTATCTTATTTTTCTTCTACGATGTTTTCTTGTCTTATATTATTCGACAATATACAAGAATTCTCATAGGAATATAAGCTTTCTCGTCAGCTTTCTATGAAATTGTCCGAACTTATTGTCATTACATTATTCTTGAGTGTTTTCCCATGGGATTCAGTAAAAAACCAAAAAAATATATTAAAAAAATAATAAGAGGAAAGAGGATTCATAGAGATTAGTAGATTCAAATTTATTTATTTTATCCTTGTATTATTTTTTTATTTGTATTTTTCTTCTTTTCAATGAAATCAATTTAAATAGAAAAAAGATAAATGAAAATAAAATGAGAATCGTATATATTTTAATGGTAAACTAGGAAATTCCATATTCGCCATAGATGATAGTAATAAAATTAACATAAGTATTTCCATAAATTAATGAAATGTGGTTTGCTTTAGCATAACTAATATTGACATATTAAAATCCAAATAGTTGGAGTCGAATATTTCGCCAAAATGCCCGTATTTCTTATTCATGAATTCATTGAACCACAGGGAGGAGGAGAAGGAGGAGTAGGTGGAGGTTAAGGTCTTGCGCGTTGGACGTGTTCCTCTTTTATTTTCTGGACTATTCGACCCGAGAGACACGATATAAGTATAGGTGAATGTAAGTTACTTCATAAATAATTTCAAATTATTTTAATACTACAAAAAATGGCAAACACCTTTTATACTTTTACAAAATAATATTATTTTTCTATTTTTTAGTTTATTTTATTCATTCGTAAGATGTGTCAAGGTTAAAAAAAAAAAAAAAGAAGAATAGAGTAGGTTAGCAATTAGCGAAAAAAAATCGCACTCAACCTTTTTTTTTTGTTTTATCCCCTTTTTTACTCTGACCGATCGAAGAACAAACCCTTCACTCTCTCTCTTTTTGGACAGATGTTTAACCCTTCTATTTTCTTCCTCAGAGAACGACCCTTAACCGTCGCACTTGTATTTAGGGTCCGTCGAATATACCGTCTAACACATGTCTCATACACGAGTGCAATTTTAACGAAAAATAAAACCTAGGGGTTGTTGTCGAACCTATCGTCTAAAACGCTAATAACAACATCGATTTGCGACACACATTGTCTAAAGAACCTTCTTTTTTAATAATCTTTCGAAAGAAAATTCACGTCAACCTATTTCGAAATTTTATTTTTCATTTAACATAAACATTTTGATTTGATTTTATTTGATTTTATTTGATTTTATGAAAGCATAGATATTTCTTTTTCTATTTGTTATAAATCGTTTAATATTGTATCATTTAAAGTATCCCTTTTACAAGGGTTAAACTTATTTATCTACAAGACCTATCTTCTCAAGCTTATCTAATATTATCAAAGAGGATCGAATATTTTTTACTCCATAAAGTTAACAGCAAACAATTTCGATTTTCCTAAACTGTTCATCCATATATTTTATATTAACCATGCTCCTATTACTATGACTTAAGCAATCTGATTAAAACTATTAATCCAACTAATAAATTAATATTAAAAATAATAATTGGACGTTTTAAAATATCCAATAAAGCATTTACGAATAAATATTTAATAATAATAATAATAATAATAATAATAATAATAATAATAATAATAATAATAATAATAATAATAATAATAATAATAATAATAANATAATAATAATAATAATAATAATAATAATAATAATAATAATAATAATAATCATAATAATAATAATAATAATAATAATAATAACAATAATAATAATGAAATAATCCTCGATAAAAATATGTATTTAAAATATTCATCGAAAAGAAAAGAGTGGAAGGGGGTTTAATGTATTTCTATAAAAATTGCTTTCCAAAGGAATGACTCGGTTCAATTTCGATCGACGAAATAAATGGAAAGAAGAAAAAGAAAAAGAAAAAGAAAAAGAAAAAGAAAAAGAAAAAGAAAAGAAAATAGAAGATAAAAAAAGGATAGATAGACAAGATCAGTTACGCTAGAGTAGAAGAAGAAAAGCTTGAAGAGTGGTTGAGTCGTGTGTTAGTGGTGGTGGTGGTGGTGGTGGTAGGAAAGAACGGAATGGAACGAGAGGATTAAGTTCACTCGTAATCCATCGGAACTATCCATCGGAGCTCACTTCGATACTTTGCTCTCTGCAGTTCGTCGTGGAATATCTGTCTGCCTCTTGGCCTTTCTTCCAACAATTCGTTCGAATCGCAGATGTCGGACACATGCGATGCCTCGAGGGAGCTCCAGTGACGGAAGATAACCATTCCACACATAAATGCTAACACACAGAGATAGAAAAAGCGAAAGAATGAATGAAAGAAAGAGAGAAAGAGAGAACAGAATCCTTCTGTGTTGTACATCGATATCTGCCATTCGAGCTCTTTTCACTATCTGTGGAAAAAGCTTTGGCTCTATTTTTCGAAAAGTTTTTTCCTCTTCCCTTTCTTTCTTTCTTTCTTTATTTCTATCTTTCTTCTCTTCTCTTTACACATCCGTGATTTTTCCCGCTTACTTCCCTTGTCTTTTGAATTTTCCCCTTTTTCTTTTCTCTTAACCATTATTTTCCTTTCTTTACTTTTTTTCTAGAAGCTTTTCGGATAAAAAATATATAATACATATATATATTTTAAAATACATACAATTTAAAAATAAAAAAAGAAACTTCAACCGTTTAGCGAATGCAATTAAAAACCGAGTACCGATTAAATGTCGATAAGTCCTTGTGAGTCACACGTGACTCATGTAATATATAGAACACGTGTCATCGAATGCTTCTTTCACGCGAGTCTAAAACCAAACTGTACACATTAGCGAATCGCGAATGAATTGCGACAGAATGTTTTTTATTTCTTTTTTTATCCTTTATTATTTTTACCAACGATTACGAAACCCAACAGCTTTTCCATTGACATCCTACGTAAACGAGGATCACAATGAGCGATATCAATTTTTCCATTTCAATCGATTGTACAACCAACTCGTTCGATAATACCCACCTTGAGAAAGAAAATACTAATACGTACGATAATCTCCCCTATATTTTGAAAAAGAAAGAGAGAGAGATAGACAGAGATAGGAAATACAAATATAAAATCAATCTAACTCAGCTAAGAAGAAAAACGTAGTAAAACTCATCTTACCAGATTACTTAAAAAAAAAAAAATACTCGTGTCCAACATCAATGAGAAAATCGAAATTCGTATAACGTGTTTCTGTGTGTGTATGTGTGTGTACAGATAAAGAAACCGTTCGTTCCCTTGTCCCCTTAGCGTGTTTCAAACCAACCGGACGTTAGGCGTATACCGCTTTAGGGTCCCGCTTTAGGGTGGCCCTTAGAGGGCCCCGTTTGAACACGTGTGCGCATAGTAGATATAGCCTAGTTGGGGAAGTAGGATGAAGGGAAAGATTCGTGAAGGGAGAAAGAAAGAAAGAAAGAAAGAGAAAAGGTATACAGATGACAGATGCCAAAAGCATCGTTGACGTTGGCAGTGCTGGTTCAAAAAAATAAAAATACGCACGATCGACGAGCCTAGAAACTCTCGTATTATATCGTCTGCGCGCCAGGATTTCAACGACGATTGCTGCTGCTGCTCTACGTGAGACACGCGGTGAACAGAGAGAGAGAGAGAAAGAGAGAGAAAGAGAGAGAGAGAGCAAGAGAGAGAGAGAGTTCAGTCGTTTCGTGGCTGCCGAGTTGACCGGGCGTGTCGTACTGAAGTTCTCTTCTTCAACAATCTTTTCGCGCCGGTTTTTTTTCGTGATTTCACCCTTTATTTCAACCCTTCTTATTAATTGATTCTTTATTTATCGTCTATCAATTTTTACCTTGTCTACAAATTTTCTTCCAAACTTTCTAATCGAAAATTATCGGAAGAATCATGGATTGTACGACGTTCGCGAAAATTCTCTCGTTCCTAACGCTGATACGTAAGTTTGTTTTTTCCAAATTTGGAAATTTTATTACAAAGAAAAAGAGGCCCATCTCTATCTCAAAAATCGATTTTGATTTTTCTTTTAATTCTTTTCTTTCTATTTAATATATCTCTATTGATATTATTAATTTGAATTTTAGTTTGAATTTTTGAAGATATATGATTATAAAAAGTGCGTGCGTGCGTGTGTTTGATCGATTTAGATCCATGAAAAGAAATGTCATCGGTTTATTTGAAACTTAATAACTTCGCGTGTTTACGAGCAATTTCTATTTGTTACTTGAGTGTAATTTTAAAAATTGTTTCGTTTCATTGAACTATTATACGATGATAAAAAGATATTGTTATATATTTAACTATTACTTAGGAAAAAATTATTGATTAGTATAATGCTTAAACATTTTTCGAAATTTCTTGTTTGATCATAAAATCTAATGGAAAATGGATTGCATTAAAATCTAATATTATTAATATTTAACTATCGAATTATTTGAAAATCCATAACAGTTTTGGATTTACATTTTACGTAAGTAAAATGGTACAACTATACGATACGATAGTATACGATATGACGAGGCTTCCCTGTCGTGTTTGTTCGTTAAATATTTATTTAATATGCGTTAGAACGGATACGGGGAAACAAGGAGGGAGAAGGGGAGATATATTCGGCGTACGTGCTTTCAACGTATTACAGCTTCCACTTCGCGATTACTATGCGAAAGAGGATGGTGCAATAAACGACGATACCGTCATCAAAATCACACAGAGGGTAGATTTTCATCTTACAAGAAAGAAAAAAAATCTTATTGAACGATTTCCGTTAAAAAAAAAAAAACGACAAAGACGTGTAGACGATAACGACATAACACGATCATATTTTTTATAACTATCTTAAAACGTATGGGGAAAACGTCGAACAGGAATTTTTTTTTTTTTTTACTACTGAAATCACATTTTAACAAGCACACGACGGTTTTAACGATTCGTAAAAGCCTTCGGTAAATTTATTTTTCACGAACGATAAAAATCTTCTAACCGTGTTCTACCTATTTCCTATAAACTTCTTTTTTTCTTTCCTTATTCCAATTTTTCTCTTTTTGTTTTCTTTTAACCTCGTTTCGTTTTTCCTTTTTCTCATGCTTATCCCCCGAAGATTCGAAAAAATCTCAACGTCGAGGTGAAATACGAAGGAGTCGTTTAAATTTGATCTTGTGGAAAATTTCTTAATCCACCCACCTTCCAACCTACCTATCTACCTATCTACCTACCTACCTAACTTTACGTTTTTCGATGGCAAAAAAACATAAAAGATAAATGAAAATGTTCAAAGGTATATATTATACTATAACAAGTTGTTCATCGTGACCTTTTGAACTCTCAACTAGGTACATGTATAAAATATAATGTAATATACATATACATTACGTGTTATAAATGCTAGTCACATGAAACGTAGGGCATCGTGAAATTACTTACAAGTTTGATCTACGGCGGTTAAGTTCAAGGCAACAAAGGATTCGCACAATGGCTCCGTTCGAACTGATCGGAAAACTTTGAACTATATGTACTACGAGTTACAAGTTACTTAAAAAAGAGGGCTGGTTTACTTTTAAAACGATTACAAACTTTCTAGAAGTAAAAAAGAACGATTTTTCACTTTGACGTTAAAACAAAATAAAAATAAAAAGAACAAAAAAACAATTTCTTTATATTATATACGTGTAAGAAATAAAACTTGCTTATGATATCGCGATTCGTTTTTTCTTTTTTTACGTAAAAATAGATTAGCAATGTGTCCGTGGTCGCTTAAAAGCGTTAAAGTTACATGCCTTGCAAAAATAGTACGAAAATAAACTGTTTTTAACGTTCCTTTGCTGGTTCTACGTACAGGCACTCAAAATTCTAAGAAAAAGCGAAATTACTCGAGGGAAAAAAAAGGAAAGAAAGAAAAAAACATAAATTTTACTTTGAATTAAAATTTCAAGTTATTTCGCTAGATGTAAAATGAAAAAAAAAAAATACTCTAATGCAAATTTCTCGTTATATTGTGGTAAGTCTATTTATATTCTAATCAGAGATATTCAATCTCTAATAATAGTTGTCATCTCGTAAAAAAAAAGGGAACAATAATTCGTAAGGAAAATTCGATCAACTGAAAATTCTAAGAAATATAACGACCGTTCGATTACGTGATTGCTCGCGTTGACGTTTTAATATATATATATATATACTTGCTAATGCTCTAATGCATTTCATTTACCTATTTTTGTCGCGGCTCGCCTATCTATCGATTTTATTTCTTTCTTAGAAACGAAACGATCTCTCTCATTAAAAAGAATTCCTCAGATAAAAGCTTTTCAGGATTATTAATACTAAATCGTATCTTAAACCTTCGTTTATTTCAAGTTTATCGTAAATGAAAATATGATAAGCCGTAAAATTTATCACAACAACACGTTTGTTTATGTTCTTATCACTTATTTAAGAATAATTCAACTCACGAAGATTTTCCGATTGTTTTACGAAGGATCTCGATGTGGTGATCATTTTCCAAATAACGTGTTGTGTATGCATAATCGATGTTAAATAAATTACACGATAGTACGTACTGCAAAATGACAATTTTGAGAATATCGATTTGATGAGTAATAATCGATCGATATCGACAATAGTGTTTTAATCGAAGCTTTATAAACTTTTATTCGAAAAAATTACAATAACGATTGGTAAAACTTGCGGACATTATTGAAATTCACTCGTTCGTTTCGTTCGTTCGTTCGTTCGTTCGTTTGCATTAGAGTTTTCAATGTAGTTCAAAGTTTGAAATGAAAGGTATTAAAAAATCGATAAGTCGCCTCCGCTCCGCCACTGCTCAGTATACATTTACTTTTTCGCACATATTTTTTTTCTATTTTTTTTTTTTTTTTTTTCAAAAAAAAAAAAAAAATAGGAAAGAGAGAGTGGGAGGAAAAAATAAGACCAAGAAGACAAACACCGTGAACGTTAACGAGAGTAACCTGGCTACTCTAATTAAGAAACAAACGCTATCTCGCGAATAGTCGTTAATCCTATTACCACCAATGGTATGTGTGTGTGTACCCATCAGAATTAAGTAATTAAATTCGAAGGAGAAATGATAGTGCGTGACTATTATCTAGATATTACATCAACTTTTACCTTGGTAATTTCGAATATTAAGAGTAGATGAAATGCGTTAACGAAATTACGATCTTTTTATTTTTATTTCTTTTTTTTGACCGCATGTGTGTAACACGCATACTATAGATCCTACGTGTGTGCGAGAGAGAATAACGTTCGTTTCGTAGTATTATTATTTTTCGTTACGATTCAAGGGGGGAAAACATTGACACGAATAATCGATCAATTGGAAATCAAGCATAAAAGGTACACACCAATTTCGAAATGATAATTTCTCACGGTTTGTTAACTCTTCTCTCTCTCTCTCTCGATCGAATTATCTATAAAACGCATGACGCATATATACGCCGGCTGTGTTCAAACGATTTCCTCCTTATTATACTCCTATTTATACTCCACAACGGTACAATATCTATTTCATTTGTTTGTTCACTTTATTTAATCGTAAGTCCAACCTGAAGGAGTTTTGGGTTAGAGTCCATACTGATTTTAACCTCTTATCTCGCATAAACGTATAAACTGAATCACCGTCTTATTATTCATTAGGGAATATCACTTGACAAAACATTTCTGAGCTATATTTAAACGAGTGAATATAAAAAAATTAAATAAGAAAAAAATAAACAAAATGAAACATACGTAAAGTACATAATTCCGGTCATCGCTTAAAATGATAGCGGAATATTTTTCCACTTCGTTTTCTTCTTTATCTTTTTTTAATTGTATCAAGTGTGTTGGAACTTGCATTGAAGTTTGTCTCTACGCATTAAATTACACCTACCAAGATAATTACAATCAACCTTGTGAAAATGTATATATATGTTAATGTTACAAACTTCATTTCTTCTTCATCGTTTAATTCTCCAAGGGAAGAAGAAAGCAGGATACATAAGAAAGTGTTATTATTGTTCTCGTAAGTCGACAATCCTACATGGAGAAAGTCACGTTCCTATTGGGATTGCGCGATTCGGATCGTATTATGGGAATAATAATAATTATTATTATTCGTATATTCGAAACATTGTAAGTCGATATCGGTGTGACACCATTTAATTTGTGGTCTGAAATTGAACAGATTTTTTTTATAAATGAATATTAAAATCCATTCGAGATTGTAATTTATATCTCCTTGAACAAAGTTGTATGTTTATGTATATATATATAAATTTCTGAACAACGAGTGGTATATCGTCAACCGGTTGTGTCAAACTTGAATGATCTATCAGTCGGTAGCATTCTTACGTGACAGAAATTCATTATTTTCTTTCGAGCATTAGAATTCATGGTACCTTGTTTAGACCTCGACTATTTTATATTCTTTCACTGGCCATTCTCTTTATAAAGATTATTATGCTCTTCATTCTCCTTACGCTTGTCAAGTTCAAACAGAGATTGATGCTCCGTGAATAACGTCGAGTTATTACACGAAAAAATAATCTACAAATTCTCGGCAAATATTAGGCATAAGAATTCATTTTTGTTTCTTAATACTCAATTTTATTGCATCACAAAATCATCTCATATGTTTTTGTATGTCAAGAAATTCAACAGTTTGACTGTGAATTTCTAATTATTTTGTAAATAAATCATATATATTTGTTTTCAAATGTATCAAATTAATTGTTACCTTTAATACTCGTACAGAATGAAGAATAATAGTAAAAAAAAAAAAAAAAATTAAAGGCGTGGTATGATATGATTGCAAAATTAAAAATGAATGAAAAATCATTTTCTAAGGAATTTTAATTTATCGTCTATACATCTATAATATTAAACTTCCTCTTTTGCGACATAATGTAAATTGCATGATGCAGCGTCGTCTCATTGTACGGAACGGAAATATCGTCCGTAAATATCTCAAACGTCGACAAGTTTAGTCGACAATTCACAGACGGGTCCGACACCTCGTATATACTATGTATATAAATACATATACTTTTAAGTACTAACACACATATACATAGCGATCATTATCCGCTCGGTACGTTGTACACAAATCGATTAACACATTTATCATTTATCTTATTTCTATCTACATCATATCTTTCGATTTACAATGTTTTAAGAAATGCCAGTTTACAAGCAACGTTCACAAAATTGCAACTATTCGTTAAACAATGTTTCTCATTAATCCTTCACGTTAAATCATTTCGAGTACGGATTTTTGTAAAGACGAGTAAAAAAAAAAATCATTTCTGGATCTAACTTTTATTACACGCTTCACTGTAATCATCGTTAATGGCTACGTTCTTATGCATAGATCGTAGCTCGCTTTCCTTTCGAGTGGCAAGCGAATCGGTTGAATTGAATATTCATGCGAGAGTGCAATACCTTGCTTCTTCTTCTTCTTCTTCTTTGATAAGATCCTAGTCGAGTAGTCGAATTAAATTCTTCATGCGAGAATATTTAAAAAAAAAAAAAAAAATAAGTAGAACCAAACTAACCCTCCCCCTCCCCCAAAAAAAGTCAAAATCAAACACGAAACTTTTACGATTTACATCAAAAGATTTCAAATCTCACGAGATAAAGTTGGTATTACATAGAAGCAAACCAAAATCTAATTTGAAAGATTATTTATGTAAGATATACTTGTTAGATAATTCCTATTTGTAATCATGTTGAAACATACAAACGATTTAGAATGAAACTTTTCACGATCAAAGAAATTCCTTATCAGCATTGGCCTCGAGCAAACGTGCTAAAGAAGGGAATGGTATTGGACAAGAACCCTTTACTAATATAATCTACATATTCGCATCGAGCTTTCAAAGTTTATCGAACAAACATCAAAGAAGGGTGGGAAAGGAGGTAGAGTAGGGTAAGACGTTAAGTTCTCATAATGTAAGATGATGCATTTCGAATCAACGCAAGCCGATTTCCTTGCTATTCCTATTTCTATTGAAGTACCTCTGAAAGGGAACCTGTTCATCGACCAATACGAATTTTGAATGTCTTTACAGTGTTCTACTTAGCAAGTATTACTCATTTCTAACCGGTACTATGGTAAATTAGAAAAGTTTCGTTTCAAATTCATTCGTTCGTTCATTTTAATTTGTTTGCCTTATTCATTCAATGAAGCAAACCAATTTGAAAATTCTCGTAATTATTATTCTACAAAGAGCATACAACTTTTACCGTTAAGGTTTTCAACTTAAGATTTCACTCATCGTGACAAATCACCGATTGTTTTAACAATTAGAAAAGAAACTAATTTTTTGTTCTAAGTTTTCTTCTTTCTTCTTTGTCTATCATCTATCTGAGTGTTAAAACTCAATGGTATCTTGTTGTAACATTCGCACGGATCGTAGAATGGTGAACAGCACGAGAAATCGAGCGATAGGAAAAAAAATCTGTGGAGGGACCGGTCTCTGAACTCCCCCTTTCTCTTTCTGCTTCTTCACCATACCCCTCTTTCTCTCACGTTTTCCATCGCGAAATAGACCAGACCGGTCGTTGCTCACTCAGAGAGAATACTGTGCGTGACCGCTGGACCGGAAATGGGTCACTCGTGGCCATTGTGGCGGGAACGCGTTTCATACCGATCTATTCACAAGGGGAAAGAGGGAATTCGAATGACTACCATTTCAAGGGGGTTAGAATCCTTCGGCATGATCGACCAGAAAAAGAACCTAATAGTATTCCCATTAATGAAGATTCTTTTATTTATTGGAATTGTTAAAGAAGTAAATTCCAGATAAAATGGTCTCTTGATTCTTTCTTTGTAGGATTTTGAATATATATTTGAGTTTAAGAGAACACAGGGTGTATTCTATTGTTATTAAAAAAAAAAAAAAAAAAAAAAAAATAGGAGAATCATCCTACAAGCTTTTTATTCGTGTAAAGGGAATATATGTATGATATGCGCTTTTAAGAAGAATCTTGACGTTTTACGCGATCTTCCAATACGGCAAAGTTACTTCTACTTGGAAAAATTCTTTTCTGCTTGTATACGATAAAGTCGAGAGGAGAATAGTTCAGGGTTGGAGTTGGAGTTGAAGTTAGGGCTGGGTTGGGTTGGCTTTGGAGAGACTAGGTCGAGAAACTACAGCTGACTGAAATTTGCTAGGCTGAGCCGATACGATAGAATGTGCATCGGATATCGACGAATGGTTGTGAATATCGATAATCGTTACTTAAAGGGTGCCAAAAAGGGTTGGATAGAACGGGGGTTGACTTTCTTAGAGTAGATTCCAGAATCTCTCTCTTGAGGGGATTCCATTCCCATGCATTGGTAAAATCGATCTATGGGAAAATAACCCATGATACTTGATGGTTATTGATAAAGCTTTTAAAACGATTTACCTAATATTTCGATTTTCATTAATTTCTTCGTTATTGAAGTATACAATTTTTAATAACTATTGAAATTTGCATTGGGTAAAAAATAATTTTCTTAAAATTTAAAGAACGTTGTTTGTTCTCATTCATACGTTTTCATTTTTAAGTTAGTTCCGTGGGAAAAAATTCGTAAGTTTCGAATCAGTTGGACGATTTTACGAGTACAACTTTAGAAAATTTGTTAGATTTTTTTTTATATCGCTTAATGTTATTCAAAAGCTTCGTTTTATGCTTTCTCTAAAGATATTTAATACACGACCTTTCTATCTCTCTCTTCTTATCTTTTTTATATTTTTGAAAAAATATTTTACATTAAATAAAAATTCATGAATTATAATGCAAAAGTAAGTTTTTCTTTCTTCTGGAATGTGTCAGAAAAAAAAGAAATAAAAAATAATAAAATACTTGAGGGAAAACCATTAGGGCGGTCGGAAAATTCGGATAGAAAAAAAATGACTTTAGTTTCGTACAAATCGGGAACTGGAACGAGAATTATAATAATTACTTTTCTCGAGTACATCACGAGCAGTGGGGTAATATACTCTTCTGAGAAACAATACCGATGAGAAAGATCATACAATACGAGAACCAGACAGAGAGAGAGAAAGATAAAAAAAAGAGATGTAAATACATGGATTATGTATATACATCATGCAAATGAAAAGCAGGTCGACAGTTCCAAAAACGTACGCTGTTACTTTCCGACTGATTCGTTATGGTTTTCTACATAAATCAAGTTCAAGTTCAAATGTCACAAAAAGATATAAACGAGTGATTTATATCGTTTGATTAAAAACTATGCTTACCACCCCAAAAAAAGGGATGATTCTTCGTTTCGAATCAAATACTCGTTTGAAAACATTGTTCATCTCGATTACTGACTATAATAGGACAAAAAAATCATTTTACAAAGACCATATAAAGCGACATCGATATTATCCTCTCGAATGTGAATGTAAAATATATAAAAAAAAAAAAAAATAGGACAAAAATGGAAAGAAGTAAGAAAAGAAGGAAGGAAGGAAAATAATTGAAGAGAGTAACGAGTTGGTAAGGATGATAACGAACAACCGTGATTATCGATCGAGTTCTCTCTCGGACACAATGAGAGAAAGAGAGAGAGAGGGTGAGAGAGAGAGGGTGAGAGAAGTTCTCCCAATGTGGTGGTAGCCGAGTTACGAGCGAGATATTCTCTTCTATACCCGAAGTCCTCCCGAGTTTCGTGCCGTGAGGAATTCTCGGTCTGTTCAATTATGGAACGGTTCTGTCGAATATTGGGTCAAAGGTCGAGGGGTCTCGAGAATACTAATGCGGAAGGTCAAGTCTCGCGCGAGTGAGGTCATAGCGCGACAATCATCGTAGTTAAGATGAAGATGTTCACCCCCACACTATAAATAATAATAATAATACATGAGAGTATAAGATTAATAAGGTAAACGCAAGACTATTATTTTACTTTCATGTTTTTTTTTTTTTTTTACAGAATTTGTCATGTGCGACGGAATAGCACCAGACCCGAAAACCTTCTTTCAAGGGATCAAAGGTAATCTGACCAACATCGTCTGGGCTCATGCAGTCAACAGCAAAGAAAACCTTGCCAAGGCACTGACCGCAAGTAAGTTTCTTTTACATTATAGAAAAATGTCATATATTATTTAAAATCGATTTGCAAAAATATCGAGACAGAAATGGAACAAACTACTAACACCACGAACCACCACCACCAACAACAACAACAACAACATGAGTACCTTATGACGACGAACGATCGTTTTCATCTTTGTCGTACCTTTTTATTTCCGTGCAGCTTAAAAAAAAAAAAAAAGAGAGAGAGAAGAAGTTTTTGAAGGACGTATATCAAAGACGACGATCGATTTATTGGCTTGTCGATATGCTGCTTCTTCTCTAACGGTGTACAAGTTAATCGAGCTCGAAGTAATTGCCGTGTTATATGACGGTAAATCTTTGTTTACCGTAGTCCACTTTCTTAAACCTTTTTATAAACTCGACTGTTAACGCATTCGCGTCAAGAGTACTCATTGTTCTTTTATTTCTATAACCAAGAATTAACGCCATGATTATGATGATGACGACAATATGAGATTTAAAGAGTGAAAGAATTAACAAAATATTTTTGGGTGTTCATCTTCAAACCAAACGCCATTTATTTTATTTTCGTTGACAGCACAATGCTGGGTCCAGTCCACCATGTTCATTTATAAAATATCTCGTAGAGAAAATTCGATAAAATTAATTTCACACGTGTAAACAAATATCAACGTGCTAATGTTTTTCAATCAAATGAATTCTTTAGTGACTCATCCTATTCGAATTTAATTAACCTTTTTTTTCGGTCTGTCGAGTTTGCGAAATAATGTTCTCACCATATCCCATGAAGACATAACTTATTGTTGACAACTCGATCGTACGGAACGTTCACGATACTCCGATAACGGGTTATTTCTATCTGACAGTAGTACATTTTTCGACATTTTATAAACACCGTTCTTCCCATCTGTCAATAAATGTTCCATTCATATGTTGTAGAAAAAGTAAAAATATCTAAAAACCCGTACGGATACACAGGTAGAAATAACATTGAATTAAAACCTTGATCGAAAGAAGATGCATTGAAATTTTTGACCTTGGGATACTACGAGGAAGTAATTTTAAAGTAGACAATGGAACCTCGAAGATGTAGAGAGTGAATAAGAGAGAAGGGTTAGGGCGTTTCCCTTCTTTTTTTTTTTTTTCTCTTTTTTGCTTCCTCTCTTTTAAAGACGACTTAAAAGTCTCATTTAACAATGCGAAAAAAAGAAAGAGAGAAAAAGAAAGTCGCGAATGTCGTCGTGTAGAGAGACTCACAGCCTCTTTAGGTGTGATCGATATTCGTTACACGTGTGCGCGTTTTCCGTTTCCATCTTGCTTCTACTACTTCCGCCTTTACATTTACGAGTATATATATATATATATATTTCTTCCTTTTCACTAAGTTTCTACGAATAGTCGTCGTAGTTTATATGTATTTTGCACACGCTAAACGTAGGTACTTTTTTAAAGAAAACATCATGATGCTCGAGGCCGACGTGGTATTAGGCTACCTGACGACCAATTCAACAAATACCAATATAACAAACAGCATACCGATAATGGCACATCCACCGGAAACGGAAAGTGATCTATCTCTGGAAGAATTTCTAATGGTTGTTCTTAATGATGGTAGCAAGGGTATAAAATTAGATTTCAAGAGTATCGAAGCATTCGATGGCAGCAAGTCAATCCTTGCTAATAAGCGAAAAGAGGTATGTATCAAGTTATAGAATATTACAATAGAAATCATAATGCGATACGATTTAAATATTTATTTATACTCGTGTGAAATATCGACTATTTCAAGGTAAAGCTTGATTATGAATGTGTTTTTGAATTGACATAACGTATATCTATTACTGTTCAAAATGACAAACATTTTACGTATAGATACAGGTCATATCGATCCCCGAGACTCTTTGCTTATTTTTTTATTCCTTCCTATATACATATACTATCTATATAACTATATAAAGGTATACATATGTATGTATATATGTATACATTTACGTAGGTTACAAATGGCATGGTTTATGAAGTATGTAGAGATTTGTTGAGAAAAACTTGATAGAGAACAAAGGACATAGATTGTTAAATAGTCATTTTCTCCTTTTATTGTCTTTCAGTTTACCGTTCCTTTGTTCTTAAATGCCGACATTCTACCTGGACCAGTCGATGCCAAAACACTTCCGGTCAATTCTACTTTATTCTTGGAAAGTGCAATGAAAACTTTCCCAGAAAGTGTCTTATCCGTTGGTTGGACGACCAGGTAAATTGATACATGTTTTTTTTACTGGTTACTATTGATTCGATTATCATCAATTACAAAAAATTATAAATGTTTTTTTTCGAGTGATATTGCAGAATTATTTTTCTTTCTCTTTTAATTCTATTTTCTGATGTTGCTAAAATGGAAAAGAAAATATAAGGATAGTTGGTTCACGAGTGTAAATGAGTTTATGTTCACCTTCACCTTTACCTCTATTCTTATTCACCAACGTAAAATATGAGAATATGAATAAAAGAGAAAGAGAAAGAGAAAAAGTTAACATTAATCTAAAAGGGAACACAATCAAAAGATAGCCCAGGGAGGAGAAGAGAGATTTTAACTGTCTTTAGAATTGCAATGAAATGAATGTGTACCGTACGAATAAAAGCGTACAGGTTTAGATCAAAATGGTGTCACCCAATGAAAGATATTTTGTTAAAAAGGAACAAAATTGATTTCAATATAAGAAAGAACGTTTTATTCTAAAGATTCACCAAAAAAAAAAATAAATAAAATAAAAGAAAACAAAAATATTTTATTTATATCATTTCTTTTTTTATTTTCAGATACGGGTCAGAGCCCAACATAACCGAAGGCCAGTATACGGAGGAACATATACAGAATATGGTAGATACCTTAACAAAGAACAAAGTTACTCAGTCGGTAACTTATCCAGTGAGAGCTGGTTTAGCTGCAGGTGACATCAACGTCATGAAAACTTTGATAGATCGCAGCTCAAGCTTTGGCAATGCAACTTTGACCATTTGGTCCAGTCAAGGAGATAATGTCGATACGAATAAATTATCTGAATTGATAAAAACAATTGGCATTGATAAAGTATACGTCGACGTTCCCCAAGATGTTTGGATGAAGCTCGATTTGTCCAATGGTTCTTCGACCTTTAACACAGCTATGATGACCGTAATGACGCTTATTTCGTTTCTCTTCGCCAGGATGCTGTGAAGCGATTTATGAGACGATCAATCGAGATTCTTAGAAAGAATACAATTTTACAATAAGCGAGTATCTTCGTCCATTCTGGACTAATTCAAAAAAAAAAAAAAAGAATTGAATGCTTTAGATCTCGCTAACTTCGCTTTCCGTCGATCAATTTTACGAGACGATCGTTCATCGAAGTAACATCACACTTCTATATTCTCATTTCTTTTTTTTTTTTTTTTTTTTTTACACGAGATCTCTCAACAAATTTCTCGGTCTCGTATATTACTCTTCTTCATCGTCATTTACTTCTTTATTTTTATTTTTATGTACGCCTCTCCAACAAAAAAAAAAAGGAAATATACTTACGAATGATTTTCTTCGAAAATCTTTGCGAATATATGTCGTAAATCAATTTAACAAAATGAGATCAATCACTTAAAACACATAAACGCACGAACACATATACAAACTCTGACACACATACGTAAACAATTCCTTTCGCTTATAAATATTAATAATAATCGATTAGTAGGGATAACAATTCACTCTTATAGGATTAGATGCACAATTTTATCGCGAATACCGTTTTATACATTTAACAAAAAAAAAAAAAGAGAAAAACAAACAAATTCATTTTTGAATCGATTATTAAAATTATCGTCGTAAAGAGTTTAATAAAAAAAAAAAAAAAAAATTATCGCATGCCTAAATTATCTTCTGATACTATATCGGAAACGATTTAAATGCTGTTAGTAACAAAAATTGTAATTTCAATTTCAAATTAAACATAAGAATTGTTGTAATCTTATTTTTTATTACGCCGATCGTGAAAATAACCGTGCTTTGACTTTAGATAATTTCATTTTTTCAATGTAACACATCGTGTAAACAATATTAAGAACGTTTATCATAAGAATAAAAAACAAAAAAAATTAACATTGCCTATTATCATGTTCGTTTATTAAACGTATCATAATTTTTTCTCGCAAGATTACGCTAATAGTAAGATAAGAAATTATACTTCTTTATAGTAAATAGAAATAATTTGGATTTATTTTTAATATTGAGCTGATAATTTAAATGAAAGATTGTTCAATTTTTCATTTAAGTTATTGTAAAAGCTCAAATTTTGTTCTTTGATCAATTGATCTTAAAAAATCTTTGATATTCTGTAACTATAATAAAAACATATCTCTTCAAATTCAATGTCCTAGGTGCAAAATAAAAAAGAAAGACACACACACACACTGGTATTAGGAATTTATGTAAACTAAATATATCTAACAATAAGCCAAAGGATATAATAATATTTAAATGTATAAATACGGTGCCAGAGCACTGCGTTTGTTAACGAAACAATAAAATCATTTACAATCCTAAGAATACAAATTCTATTCTATTCCTAATTCGAATGTAAGCTTACCACAACCTATTATTATTCATCGTGGGTGGTTAGTTTGTAATCCTATTGATCAATGTATCCCCAGGGGTACGTCTAGTCGTGTCCTTGAATATGCACAAGAGTTTTTAAATCCCAACTTGGTATACCTGCTCTAATCGTGTTTTCAAAATTTCTATATATGCGTTATAAATAGGATTACAACTATTATTTACTACGAAAAATAGAAATATATTGTCAAAGTTTCTTTATATTTCACAACGTGTTCTCAAATAACATACAATTCACTATTATACAAAATAATAAATATAACATAATATAATAATATTTATATATTTATTTATATTATATATTATATTAGTTATTATATATAATAATATTAATAATATAATATATATAATATATATTATTAAATTATATATATATATAAAATTTTCTAAAGATAAAATATATTTTAATTTGTTAAAATAACAAATAATTGTATATTAAAATTAATGTACAGTAAAAATTTGTTTGTTTGAAATTGACATTTCAAATTGTCACTTCAAATGACAATTATGCATCCTAATTAAAAATTAAAAAAATCAGTTAACTCATGCTGTTAAATAATTTGAAAAATTGAATATCATAAATTAGAAAAATACATACAATCGATAAAAATAATTACACCGGAAAGAAAGATAGAAATATTTCAAGGTAAAGCTTCAATAAGAAGATATGATTGTAGAGAATAACTTATGGAAGGTGTCGATAGCGTAGCTCGCGATGTCAAAGGTCATTCGACTAGTACAGACGTCCTTGAGAGATGGAAAAAACCATTCCGGTTATCACAATCGTTCTTAGCAGCGCACAGACGTTCCCTTGTCGTCCCTTTCTATGTGCAGGTGCAACACGATTACCTTCAACGTGTGCGATCGTAATCATCGTTGTAAAATCTTCTTCTTCATTCTTTCTTTCTTTCTTTTTTGTTTTTTTCTTTGTAGAAAAAGAAAAAAAGAAGTTGAGGGTCCAACGATCGCAATTAAGTTTCCGATTCGAGCAAAAACTTGATTGTCTATCCCTTTGCCCAACTCTTTAATCATCTTGATTATCGTAAAGAAAAAGAAATGAAAAACAAAATGAAAAACTATACGAAAGCTCGAGAATAATAATAATTAATGTTTCAAAATATTTTTAAATAGATTTATACGAATAATAATTATGTATAAGAGGATCATAACGAATAGAAAATAATTTCGAATACAAATCTAACATTGCGTAGGCCTAAGAACTTAATCTTCATTGATAACCTTCTTTGAACTAGAACGAAAGAGACGTTAACATCGATGTCGGAAGTGTCAACGTACGATACGATAGATTATAGTTTACATTATTTTTCTCACCTAATAATTTTCCTTGAATATATTGAGAAAGCTCGCATTTCTTCTTCTTCAAAAAAAAAAAAAAAAAAAAAAAAAAAAAAAATAAGAAAAATAAAAGAAAAGAAAAGGAAAAAATTATCCTCCTTTTGATTATCTTTTCGGTTCACGTATTCTTCTTGATATTATATTTCTACNTAAGGACAAGCACATTTTCTTCTATTTTCTTCGAGCCAAATTTGTAGAACTTTGAATGGAAAAAAAAAAAAAAAAAAAAAAAAGAAAATAAGAAAAATAAAAGAAAAGAAAAGGAAAAAATTATCCTCCTTTTGATTATCTTTTCGGTTCACGTATTCTTCTTGATATTATATTTCTACGATTAGAAAATCGTAACAAGAGGAAACAACAGTGGGAATGATCATACAAAGTAAAATAATCTTCTCATATTCGTACACGCGGAAAACTTGAGACGATGGGTAGGATAGAATTATTCGTGGCAATAGCCGAAGAACGCATTTCCAAGTGGAACAAATCGGTGCTTTGAGCACAAATCTCTTGGCATGAAAGCGCGGGACCCAACATTTTAAACCTAAATCCGCATGACTGATGTCCCTTCGTGTTCACGAATATCTTCGGTTAATCTCGGAACGTATCTCATGATCTACAAGTTGTGAGCAGAAAATCTACACTAAAGATGACAGCTATTCTTATAAACTATATTCTATAGTATAATTTATTTAAATAATAATTTACAAAAAAAAAATTAAATTCAACGTTTAATCACGTACAAATACCTATACGTGTTAATAATATGAGAAATAATAATTGTAACTTATTAATGACATTAGTAACAACGATAGCTATTATCAATTTAATAATTAAACGTAAAATATTCAACGTGAAAAGTTGAATTGCACGAACATCTCGAATTCGTAGAAACACGAGAAGAGAGTCAAGGATAATTTCACGTTAAACGAATGGAACATATTCAAGAGTCATTATTTATCAGCTAGTTTTCTCTCACCTTGCTAGAGATCTCGGCTCATTAATCTGACAGGATGATTACAAGCGTTCTCGCGATGAACGTTTGAATTCCACGTGCTCATACATATATACATACGTATGTTCCTTATGTGAGTATCTGTCTTTAATGAATCTGTCACATTCAAAGACTTTTCGACTGACTACTTGTTCCAATAATTCAGATGCCCAAATTTAGGCTAACATTTAAAACTGATTTTAAAATCACATTTGAATATCTTATGATTTATTTTCATTTTTTTTTTTTTTAATAACAAATCTATACATTAATTAAAGATGTTCAACATGGAGTTCATATTCACATCCCAATTTTTACTTGTCACGTCATTAAACTCATTTCTTTTTAATATTAAAATATACATAATACAAAGTATACGTATACTATTCTCATTAAACAAGAGAACTAGAAGAATATCGGTATTGGTCAAGATTAATCGAGACAGTCGATCGATAAAAGTGAGACACGAACGTTTGGTAAGAACGTTTTTATCTCAATGCTTTTTTTTTCTCGGGGTGTCGTAGAAAAAAAAAGAAAGAAAAAGGTATCGAAAGGCGGTAGCGAATGTTGTGTAATTCCACCTTCTTTTCCCTTTCCACGTGGTGTACAACTTCCTGTCGTGCTACGAAAGAAAGAAAGAAAGAAAGAGAAAAGGGTCGAATGACGATGCAACACAACGTTACTTCGGGACAAATCGTAGAAGAATAAAAAAAAGAAAAAGAAAGAAAAAGAGAAAGAGAGAGAGAGAGAGAGAAAAAAAAGATATCGAGATTTCGAATCGGACATAGCCATCTTTCTTGGGGTGGAGAGAAACAGGCGTGTTTATTTATCGGTGTCCAGCCTAAAAGGGCGACAAAAAGCACGACGACACGAGCTCCGTTTGCAGAACGAAAGAACCAGTCCTCCACTTCGTCGAGCACGCACTACCACTACACTGATCCTATCTTTCTTTACTTATTCTCTTTCTCTTTCTCTCTCTCTCTCTCTCTTTCTTTCTTTCTTTCTTTCTTTTCACTTCTTCTTTCTTCTCTTTCTTCGTTTTTGGCCGAGATTTTGGCCCGCCGACGTCGAGACGTCTTTGAATGGCAACGCGAAAGTGAATGGAAAACCAAAAGGATGAAGCAGGTCATCTGGTACTGCCCTTACATTCTCGTTAAAATCGAAACTACTCCCTTTTTTAACTTTCAACAACAACAACAACAACAACAACAACAATAACAAATATTTATTGAAATTTTCTCATTGATATTTCTATCTATTTTCTAATATTTTCAAATCTATTCTAATGCATAAGTTTTTCTTTAATATAAGTAAAATAAAATTATATTTTTTACCTAATTTATTATATTTAATATAATATAAATAGTATATATAAATAATAATTTGTATTATTATTATTATATTACATGTAATAATATATATAAAAAAAATATTGTAATATTTTAAACTAATCTAATATTAAATAAAAAAAATTAAAAAATATTGAAATATTGTAATATTTTTAACTAATCATATATTAAGTAAAAGAAGTGAACAAGTGAACGTATTTATAAAAAATTATTTTTTTACTATTTATTATGTTGTTTTTTTTTTTTTTAATATTGGAAATATATTATATAAACTGTCAGGCAATTTGCAAAGTTGTTAAATTGGATAGTTTAAATGTGATTAAACAATTCTTTTCACGGATCATTTCGTACAATTATCGCAAACTTTCGTTCTCGACGTGTTAGCTCGTTTCCTTTCTCGCATTTAATACACCATGGTTATTTTTCCACGGTGTAACCTCACCTCTCCTCCTCCTCCTCCACCACCTCTCTTTCTTCTTCCTTCTACTACCCGTTGGAAGGGATCTTGCAGAAAATCCTGCGCGTCACGTAGAAACGTCTGGCAGTGAAGTCACCACTACAAGTATTTATATATATATATATATAAATATATAAGAAAGCTACGCGATATTTTCACTCCTCTCCTCACCTCTTCTCTCCTCTCCTCTCTTCTCTTCTCTTCTCTTACGAGAGAAGAGATGCATTACGAGTCACAGCACGGAAGTATTTTTCCACCGTTGGTATCGTTTTATTCCTATTTACGTAGTATCATTAGAAAGTTAATAAGGAAACAGGTGTGCAGGAAAGGGAAATACCTTGTCAAAGTCCTACCCCGAAACGCCCATGTCATCGTAATAACTTACGCCGATTCTCTTATGAGAAATTCTATCCATTGTCTTTTACATACGCTGTACCAACACATAAAAGAAAAGATGAACCGTTGTTCAACTCTGCAAAAGATATGCTAATAGAAGAAATAAGACGATATTAGAACGTTATGAAAGTAAAATAACATTGGATCTTTAATAAATTATTATATGAATACTTGTTTACAGATCGCAATGATTAATTGAATTTTTCTATATTGATATCAGAATTTTATCATTGTCAAATCTTTACGATTAATTCGTAATATAGTTTTATTTATTTTTTACGATAGAAATTTTCAAGGTTTACTAATGAACGTCGATATTACTATTATTAAATTAATTTCTTATTAACTTATTAATTATTAATTTATTAATATATTATATATATATATATATATATATTTATCTCTTATAATAATATATTATAAAATATTATATTATATATTAACACAATTAATTTTTAATTATGATAAATTATAATATATAATAATATTATAATATATTAACTTAAAGAATAATAAAATATTAACTTATAATATTAAAAAATAAACACACACACAATGTTCAAATACCGAAACTTAAAAAACCATGAAACTGAGAACAATACCATAATAAATGATATACCATTGTATACATTTAAATTCTTCTTTCCACGAAGTTAATTGATTTAACATAACATGACTGTTTCGTATTATAAAAAGAAGAACTAAAAAACTAAGAAAACGATCAAGTTTGGTGCCGAAAAGGAATAGAGAGTTGTTCATATTTCAACCCCGTTCCTTTTCTTCTTCTTATCCTTTTGCCGAAAGAGAGAAAGATGAAGAGACTCTCTTTGTGGTTTCTTCCCTGAAACATTTCTTCTTCTTCTTCTTCTTCTTCTTCTTCTTCTCTCGCGGAGATAAAGTCTCTAGGGAGAGACGAGTAAGAAAGCGTAGGAGGGGGTGGTTGCTGTGAAGGAGAGGAAGATTCGAGAAGAGAAGAGAGAAAAGAGATGAAAGAGAGAGAGTAAGAGAGAGAGAGAGAGAGAGTAAGAGAGAGAATGAGAGAGAAAGAGAGAGAGAGAGAGACGGGGACGAATATACGCACGCATGCGCAGTGCGTCCCGCGATCTCTTAGGTTGCCGGCAGCTTCGGTTGGCCTCAGTCGACCGCGACATTCGGTCCGCGAGATACGATTCGAGTCTTGGATACAATCGATAGGTCGAACATAATATAATACAAAATATATACAATAATAAAAAACACAAACTATAAAAAGGTACACTTTACACGTTGACGTACGTAGGAACGTGGACAGAGACACCCACCCAATCAGAGACACACGTCAGATTCCTTCAATCGTCGTAAAAGAAGAAAATCGAAAAAAGATCGAATGGGTTCAAGAATCTCTATTGGAAAAGATCATCGAACTATATTTTGCCATTTGTTAAATTGCTATGAGATCGATGAAAGAAACTATAAGAAGATTAATAATAATAATATTAATAGCAGCGAAATTACATTTTACATTGCGATGAATGAAATAATAAAATTAATAAGTTGAACTTTTTTATCGGAAAAATAAAAAACGACATACTTAATCTAATTTATTTTAAAAAAGAAATATAAAATAATATAAAAGTATATATATATATAATATATTATTATATAATATAATATAATATATAATAAAAAAAAGAAAACTTGAGAGATAAAATAAGATCTCGAGATAATTATTACGTAAGATAATATTTTGTGGCTAAAATCGGTTCGCCGGTAGCCACGTGTTTTCTTGACTGATGTCTCGTTCGTGTAGAAAAAAAGATCGTCTGAGTGATCGTGCGTGGATCGGTATTAAATTGACGACGACGACAACAACAACGACAACGATGGTCATGTGTTCCTGATTATAGGGGAAAAATTTTTGTTAAATATAAGAAAGATAAAGTAAAAAAAACAATAAAATACAAAAGGAAGGAAGGACGTTATCGTAGAAAGGGTGGATGGATGTGATTTATACATATACACATGACGATAATGTTGCCGATGATGTAACCTCCTATGCTCCTAGCTTTAAGCAGGTGTTATCGATCTTTTAGGTATACGAAATGACGCGCGACGTAAAATTGTTATTATTGGTGGCATTGCTTATGGCGTACGGATTATTCGCGGTTGAATCGAGGTATCATCGCGAGGATAGTGCTCTTTTCGAGCCAAGAAGACATCGACACAGACACAGGCATGAAACGTCGATTAGTAGAAGAAATTATCACGAACCGGTAGACAGAAGATCATCGTCTGGTTGGTCACGTGAATTGGATTACGACGAATACGACGATTTATATGAGGATTCTCGACAAGACGATGATGAATACGATGGTGATGATGATGATTACGATGGTATAAGATCGTACGATGAAAGGTTATATCCTAGTAGATCGAGAGGTAAGAATTATCAGGAGAGAATATACGAGTCGAGATATCCGAGACGTCATCGTGAAAATTATTACGGTTGGTATCACGATGAAGAGAAACGTCGGATTCCATCGAGATATAATTGGAAGAATCGTCACAGGTCAAGATTAGAAAGACTAGGTAGAAACCGGCACAGGGGAACAGCGGGAGGAGAAGGTGGAGGAGGAGCAGGTGGAGGCGGGGGTGGAGGAGTTAATAGTTATTCGAGAAACCGGGAAGCTTTTCGTGATGATTTTAGCGAGGAGAACGACGAGGAGGATGAGGAAAGGTCAGCGCGACGTTACGATGACGATACCACCGGTCCCGATAATCATTATTCCTCTTCGTCCTATTTACCCTGGAAAAATTTCAAAAAACAAAGGAACAATTGGAGACGAGATTGGAAAAATGGCAACAGACAAAGTTCGATTGGTTATCGTAACGGAAAGAAATTTTACGATGTTGCTGGTAGCATCGACCTCGATAGCACGAGGAAGTTCAGACTGGAAGATCAGAGAAGAAGGAGAACGAACTTGACCGAGAGAATCTTAGAGGATTACGTCGATAATGAGAAAGATGATGAGGAGGATGATATTTGGAAGGAAGCTGAGAAAGAAGAGGATGAGGATGACGGGGCTGGAAATGTTGACGATGATCTTGATGAGGAACTCGATAACGATTTTTACAAAAACGAAAATAAGCCGCCGTTGAACAGTTACGACGATATCATCAGAAGACTAACGTCAGAGGATCCAAGTACGGCAAAGCCGACGGTTAAAAGGGATTACAGGAACGTTGGTATAGAAAAGTATCCCTTGCGCGTATCTTACAACAGCAACAACGGCGGATCCAGAAATCTTACTCGTCCGAAGGTCGTCGGCTCTTCTTACGTGACCAGCGCGTCCAGTTATCTTGTAAATAAAAAGCCGTCTTCTAAGGGAGAGGAGGTGGTCGATAGGAGAGTCTCGATGATCAAGTCCGCGAGTGCAGAGATCGAACGTAGTAAACCCACGAAGAACGTGATCAGTGTCGTGGTTAAAGACGATGACGAGCATTCTGAAAAAGCCAAGACCAAGAGTCTCGAGCAGGAATACGATGATTATTTGAACACCGAGGACAACGAAAAGGAGGAGGATCTCATAAAGGCCGGCGTTGACGATGATTCCGGCATGCAATCGGACGTCACTAACACGGTGAGTCTAATTTTCGCGAAAGTATTCATTGAAATGATTTGATTAAAATACCAATTTATTTCTAAACCATGATTGCACAAAAACGTATTATAGTTTTCAATGAAGATCTCCCATATTTTATACAAAATTATTTGTAAATTGCGCAAGCGAGAAACCACAAATCGAACCTAGTAATAGAATAAAATTTTTTGTTCTAAATAACATCACGATCTTAGCGATGATCACTTCGATTCTTTCTTCTTTTTTACCAAGTATCCTTGAAAAGGGCAACGATCTAAGATTCGCGGCCTTGAAAGATAAGCTCCTATCAGAATGTAATATCCACACGAGTATTGACATCGACTCTGTCAATAAGACATCTTATAACCTATCGGATAAACATCTATCTTGTTGATCCTAAAGATTCCAACTTCAAATCACACAGTAATCGTTTTAATGAACACTTATTGATACATAAATTCACGATAAAGATTATTCCAAGGATGTATTGAAAATGATTCACAAATAGGAATTTGTTTGCTTGAAGCAAATATCGTGTTGGAATCGCATAGTTGAAGCTGGTAATTTCGCACGTTCGCATTCTTCTTAGATCTCGAGGGTGTACGCGACGTTACCCTTCAGCGATTCTCGGTCTCGCACGGCTGATCTCGTGATCGACTTTCACGATGCAACAACGTAGCACCAGACAAACCTCTTTCTTTCTCTCCCCTCACCACCACTTATTTTTCTTTCTCTTTCTATTTCTCTTTCTCTTTCTATCTTGTTGCACTCGAGAAGAGATCGTTTTGGATCGTCCTTGGCAGTGCTATTCGCCACGGACCGTGAATCGCGTCAGACACCTACAACACAGTCTTGCTGCTTACGACGAACCAAGCCATGCTTATCGAAAACCTTCTCTCTCTCTCTCTCTCTCTTTTTCTCTCACTTGAGATTCGTTAAGTACTCTAGTTCCGAGAACTGTTTCGAATATCTACGACGGTTCTACCAACGTTATTAACGACTTACTCTACGTATTTGCATTCGTCGCAACGTTGGTGGCTTCTCTGTTTCTTTCATCACCTAAGATTAGATTATCCTTGAATATAACGCGTACTTAGATAATAAGACATATTACTTCAACGGTGAAAATCTTTCGGAAGTTCGGAGAAATTCATCAACGTAGTTACTCGTACAAGCCAATTTTCATTGCCAAACGCGCCATTCACTCTGATTGTTATTCTGGTACTTGTGTGTAAGACTAATGAACGAGTACTAGGAAACAATGTTTAACACGTTAACTGCCGTGTCACCCGTATTCGGGTGACAGCAAAAGTTCTCATCAGGCCACGTC